TGTTCCCTCCCCCCTCGCGACAGCAAGCAGGGCAGTTCAGCAGCAGAGCCTAGAGAAGTAAAGGAAGGGCAGACTGTCTGCATTTCTTTTGGATTTTCCTAGAGTTAGGGTCCAAGAGATGGTTATTTACTGCCCCATGGTACCAGATTTAGACTCGAGTACAAACAGATATACAAAACAAAGAACATATTAAGCACAAAAATACACAGACAATACAGATGCGCTGGCGCGGTTTCGGCATAATGCCGAAAGCAAAATTTCAGACGGAGACTCTGAGGATCCGGATTCCTCGTCTCCCAGAAGAATCACGTACCCTTAGGACTGTGGGGGTGCCCCGAACAATCCTATTCGGTAAGGATTCACAGAGTTACCGATGGGCCAGGCACCACATCCGGCCCCCAGATGCCTCTGAGACGTCTCCCAGGGCTGCGGTCGGGAGTGAGAGCCCGTCGGCTCCTCCGCGGTCCGCCCGATACAGATCTAGTCAGCCAACTAGTACAGAGTCAGTCGCAAGCGCAAACACAGAAACACCGAAGCACAGACATTCACGGAAAACAATCGCTGGCCAGCTTACCTCCCGGTGGTGGGTCGGTGATCCCTGGGCAGGGGTCTCCAGATCTCGGTGGAACCTCCAAATGAAAGACCCCAGTGCTGGGCAGTCTTTCAGGCTGAGGAGACCCTCCCAAGGAGCAGCGAGTCACTCTTCGGATGCAAATAGCAAGAGGCTTTATTTAATACACAGGTACCTGGGGCGGCTTAGTCTCTCGGAAGACAAGCGCGCCTGCAGACTGGGGGAAGGTCTTTTTATAGGAAAGAGGGCAGCAGAAGCAGATTACAGAAGCAAATGCATCGTTAGTGGTCAGTTGGAATGGGGCCAGGGGCACAGGGGGTTTTTCCTTTCCCAGCACAGATGTATGGGAACAGACATCCTGTTAATTGATGTCCTGTCCTAATCTATGGATATAAAGATCCTGTTTTGCAGCCAGGGACCCTGACCTTACTCTGCACTTATAGTCGTACGTCAAAAGCTTTGTGAAATGACGTTACAGCAGATAAGCTGGGATCTTTCATAGGGGGAGTTGTCTCTTCTGTGAATTACTGATATTCTAAATTGGGCACGTATACTGACTATAGGCATCCTGTTTCCCTAAGCAACCGGGATGTTCTCATTAGAGCAGGCCAGCTGCGGGTTCCTTATCGCTTGGGGCCAGATGGCTGACCGGCTGACCGCGGATATCTTGCCTGGCTTCTCCACCCTTGCTTTCAAGTCGAACTTCCCTGCTCTAATTACTTGCGTTGCTCCAAAGTTTAAGCCTTGCAAAATGGCATTACTGCTGCTTAGTGAGTGGGGGTCTTTCACGTGAACACACGCACACGGACAAAATAAGTGAATGTAAAATAAAAAACAAAATAATATAACAAAAATCCCCAAACCAAATAAACGAAAAGCTCACGAATCAAAAGAACTTAGAGCAGTGGGGGATTTACTTGCCTAATAAGTGCAAGGCCCTGGGTTCTGTTCTCAGCACAGAAACAAAATAATAAATGAAATAAAGATGCCTTATTGCTTGTGTGTGTGTGTGAGAGAGAGTCCCAATTAGAAGTTCTTTTTTTTTTTTTTTTTTTTTTTGGAGACAGGGTCAATTAGAAGTTCTACCACACGACAGAGGCTATTTTGTTTTTATTTATTTATTTATTTATTTATTTTTCGGGACAGGGTTTCTCTGTGAGACAGTCCTGGCTGTCCTAGAATTTGCTCTGTAGACCAGGCTGTCCTCCAACTCACAGAGATCCGCCTGCCTCTGCCTCCTGAGTGCTGGGATTAAAGGTGTGCGCCACCACTGGATGGCTCTGGAGAGGCTAAGTTTTAAGTGTGAGAAAACTTAGAATTGATTGGTCCTTGAAGCTGTCAGTAGGAACAAAGATCTGAGATGAATTTCTTTCTGTTTCCACCCAAAGAGTCTACCAGTCCTGGACTCTGTTAATTAAGTGTTTCTCAGAGCCTATCCTAGGAACTGGGTTTTCACGCAGGGAAGATGGGTCTGTGGATAAGCCGCTTGCTGCCCTTCCAGATGACTTGAGTTCAGTTCCCAGCATTCATGTCTTGCAGCCCTGAAATAAGAGACAATTGTCCCTTGTTCAAGAACACTGTATCTCTGAGGCCTTCAAATAACCTTTAAGTTGTGACTCATCTTACCCCGAATTCCACCCACACAGGATTTTTGAAAATATCTCTTTTAAGCAAGGCAACTCAAAGCTTGAGTATGGTTTTTCTCTCTATCTAGAGCGAGTACAAGCAAGACACTGTCTAACGTGCTGCCGGCTGTGGTTTTGAGATCCTCTGTCACACGCATAACCTAACCTGGAAACGAGGTCAAGATCCACCACAAACATGTGGGCTGGGGCGGGAAATACACTGTAATGTCAGTGTCACTGGCGGGAACTGCAAATGTTTTCTTTCTTTCTTTCTTTTGGTGATGATTATGGTCAAAACCAAAAAAAGCCAGTTGGCTCAGACCCAGACCACATTGCATACTGGGAGGGCACCTGAAGGTGGAAATCAAGGGTTAAAATAGCCTGCTGGTTGCCTTTCTACATCACTTCTAGGTTTTCAATTAATTGATTTTTAATTTTTATTTATGTGAATGAGGGAGCCGTGTGTGTGTGTGTGTGTGTGTGACATATTCGGGTCCCTGAGAAGACCAAATTAAGACAAAGGATCTCTTGGAACTAGAGTTATGGCAGGTGGTGAGCTGCCTGATATGGGGCTGGGAACTGAACTTGGGTGCTTTAGACGAACAGCATCTGCCCTTAACCACTGGACCATCTCCAGTATCTCATCTCCCCTTTTACTTCATTTTCAAATCCACAAATGGAAAAGCTGAAATACGTACAATTTGAAAATCCACTTGCTAGGTGTTGCTTTTTGCCCACACCTGTTTAAAACCGAGGCACTTCCGTTATCGGCCTGGACGGATATATTTCTCCCTTACCTGAGTCTCCCTCCCTTTATAAACAAATTGTTTTATTTAACTGTGTAAGGTGTTTTGCTCGCACACATGTTTGTGTACCGTGTGCATGCCTGGTGCTGGAGGAGGTCAGACGAGGATATCAAATACCCATATAGACAGTTATGAGGGGGCTGGAGAGATGGCTCAGAGGTTAAGAGCATTGCCTGCTCTTCCAAAGGTCCTGAGTTCAATTCCCAGCAACCACATGGTGGCTCACAACCATCTGTAATGAGGTCTGGGGCCCTCTTCTGGCCTGCAGGCATACACAGACAGAATATTGTATACTAAATAAATAAATCTTTTTTTTTTTTTTTAAAAAAAAAAAAAGCCCCCATTGGCTCACCTGACAATTATGAGGCACCATGTAGGTGCTGGGGATTGAATCCAGGTCCTCTGGAAGAGCAACCGCTCTCCACCCCCTCTTGTCCCTTTCCTGTGCATCCTGAGCTGTAAAAACATTTTGATGTCTCTGTGTTGGGGTTTGGCTGGCCCTAAGGCTTTCTGCTTTAGCTCCTTGTGTCAGCCTCTCTTCTGCTGGAGGATCTTGGGTCTGTTGCTGCGACTTCAGCTTTCCTAACCAGAAGCCATCGGGCCTTTGGTAAGCCTTGGCTAAAAGGTGGTGTGCAAGTCGAGAGAAACTTGGCCAGCATCACCAATGCCATAGAGTAACTGTGAACTGAATCAGGTCCAGGAGTGCCCCAGAAAGCAACATTTATCACGTGACCACTGGAGCTGGCTCCCGCAGAGCTTTGCAGCTGGTTTGATTCAAGGGTTAGCACCTGGGCCTGGATCTGCCTTTTGTGTCCACTACCTTCTGTTTGAAGTATGTAAATCTTATCTGTGTGTTTCCTAAAGGGTTCAAAGCCTATGCAAAACTTGGTTGCTGGGAGGACTCAGAAAACCGAGGTGTCCTGTGACTGGGAATTGCTTTGGCATTTGTCTCTTTGGGGAGCTTCAGATATGAGGTTTTGGTGTGTGAAAACTGACTTGCTAAGGTGTAAATTGTCTAACAATAAAATGCTATTTGCAAAGCTACAGTCAAGCCGTTCACCAGAAGCTCAAAGGCTACAAATCATCCTAAAGTGACCCTGTTTCTTCCACAGACCCGTGTGAACCCAACACCTGACACAACATCCCTATGGTGGTGTTTCTTGAACATGCTTAGATGTGTGTTTTGTGTTTATCATGATTTTTGGATTCCTGTTCTGAGTGTTCAAAGTATAACGAAGCGTTCTTATTACCTGGTCTTGGACATCCTGCAAAAGGCGATTTGGTGGCGGCAGTGGCGTCTTCCTCTGCCTCTTTCTATTTTTGTGTATGTGTTTATCTTTGTAAGTGTATGCCACGCCTGTCGTCTGTGCAGTGCCGTGGAAACCAGAAGAGGATGTCGAGTCCTTTGGACTTGTAGTGGTTGTGAGTCACCATGTGGGTGCTGACCTGTTTCCTGGAAGAGCAGTCAGTGAGCCATCTCTCCAGCCCCATTAAAAAAAAAAAAATGAACTGAGTTATTTATTTAATCATCTCTCCAGTCCTGCTGCTGGGAATATTTTTTTGGTTTCTCTGTAGCTTTGGTGCCTGTCCTGGAACTAGCTCTTGTAGACCAGGCTGGCCTCGAACTCACAGGGCTGCCTCTGCCTCCCGAGTGCTGGGATTAAAGGTGTGCCACCGCCTGACGCTGCTGGGAATCTTAATCAGCATGATTTATTTTGGTGGAGTGGCGATGGGGTGTAGAGCCGTGAATTGCATTTAATGAAACAAAAATCTAAAGTAGAATAAAGCCTCTTTTTGAAAAAATGGTTAGCCTTCCAATTCTTTTCAAATCATGTCTCTCACTCATTACCTCTTTCCAGCTAACATTTCTGGCCACCGTCCCCGCCCTCTGCATGCAGGTGAAGCGGCATTGACGGACTACAGCTCCCGGCATGCCCCCGTACACTGGGTCACGTGAGGTCCGGAAGCTCTGGCCACTTCGCTGGGTGAGGCGGCGGCGGGGGCTGCTGGCAGCCCGAGTATAGCGGAGTCGGTACTTCGGCGGGTCTCAGGTGCGAGTCTGCGTGCGTCCGGGTGCTTGGGGCCCTAGCCCGGCTGGGTGCGCGGGGAGCTTCGGGTGCCGGAGGCTCGGGCAGCTGGTGGGTGTGGCAGCGCGGGCACGGCTGGCCGCTGGACCCCTCCGGACCCCACCGGAGCTCCCGGTGCTGCCGCTGCTCGGTCCTGAGGCTTGTGTGCACCGCAGGGGGGGGAGGACACCCTAGAGGGAAGGTGGCCTCAGTCCAGCCCACGCGATCCCCCGGCGGGGGGAGACTTGTACTCCTCGAACCATCGGTCCCTTGGCCTTGGATCATGGGACATTTGAACTGAAGAAAAATGAAACCCAAGAAGAGGGCTCATGGTTTAGCCATTGGAGGCCTCTTTTCAGGTAGGGTGGAAGGCTTTTGAATAGGTTGCACCGAGGTCAGAGAGGAAGAACGGACTTCGTGGAGAAACTAGGCTTTTGTTTTCTAGTAACTACCAAGAATTCGGCTCTGTTACTTATTCATCTTTCTTTGACTCTTATTTGCAGAGTGTGGCCTGTTCTTAATTTTGATAGGGACAACGGGAATGTGTCCACTTAGTTTTAATGTTTCCTGAAATACGTTAGGCGATGCTGTGATTACTTACTGAAATGTTTTAGAGGAAGCATAGTTGCCAGGGCGAGCAAAACCAGACTTGTAATTGCTAGCCTCTAACCATTGCTTGGTATCTTCACACACGTTTCTGAGTTTACGAAATAATCGCCGATGAAAAGAGCGCCTTTGCTTCTTTGATGGCTGGATTATTTCTTCGCCATTTGCCAGATGTTTCCTGTCTGACAGACTGCCCTAAAAAATGCAGTAAATCGTTTCATTTAATCCTTAAGTGAGGAAATTGAGCCTCAAAGAAGTGAACTAAATGGACTTGAATTTTCATGTCAGAGTAATGGGTGGTCTTTCTCTGGCTCTCAGGAGCAAGCAGGTTCAGTGTTCACTGTCTAGGGTTCTGGATGGGTGCCTGTTCGTCAGTGAGGGTGACATGTCATTACAGTGACCATTGGCATGGTTAGTGCTTTGTCTGGAGGAGGAAGGAGAAAGTAGTTGTCTTTGGAACGTGTCCAAAAATAGCAAATAAGGAGAATGTGGTCTTAGGAACCTTGGTATAAAAGGGTGTGGTTTTAGAACCCTGCCACAGATAGCTAGGTCCTTAAACATCTTTGGTAATGAGGCAGTTTTAAGAAAAGAAAAAAAATTACTAGATTTGGGGTGTGTGTGTGTGTTGACAGGTGTCAAGTTGTCCAGGTCACCTCCACCTCCCCGCCTAGCTGGAGATAACCTTGAACTTCTGATCTTCCTGTCTCGCTAGGTTTGCTACTGTTTACCAGCGCGGCAGGTGTAGTGTGTGCTGGTCAAACACTCTCCCATTGACCAAACCCTGCTTCTAAGGCAGGCTTCCAAATGAATGTGCACTCTGCCTGTTTTTGAGACAAGGTGTAGTTCTGTAATCCAGGCTGGCCTCAAATTTAGGCTCTTCCTGCTGGGATCATAGGAGTATATACCTGGGTAGGCTCGAGTTTTGAAAAGAGAAGGGATGTGCGTGGAATTGGTGAATAGTTTCTAGTTAGATGACGAGAGATCAGAAAGATACTGTTTAAGTGCGGAGTATTGGCACATAAACGATAGCACATAAAGTACTGTGAAATCGCCGAACTCAGCGATGCGTCTGATGCCTTTCTATCTACCAGTACTTTGAGTACACATGTAAAAACCAAATCCTTGAGAGTCGGATGATTGCCAGTTCTGCCCATTTGAGGGTATAAGGGAACCACACTTGTTTATAAGTTGGACTTTTCCTATCCTCAACTACATACCAGTGGGTTTAAGATGTGGTAATTCTAATTATGTATTATGCAGCCTGGCGTGTTTTCTCTTTTAACTTTCCCGCTTACACAATATGCTGTGGAGTCTAGTTAGAGCTGGATTTGAGTGCATGCTTTGTCTCTCAGGAGAGAAATTACTTTCTGAGATTTTTTTTCTCACCTGAAAGCCACCTGGAGAGCTGGCTCCAATTATATGTGCAAAGACCCTATCAGGATGCTGGTGTCTTGTAGGCAGGCATTCATCACCCTGGGCGATGGTGACATAAACCTTTAGCCCCAGCATGTGGGAGGCAGAGGCAGAGGGATCTCAGTGAGTTCAAGGCCAGCCTGGTCTACAGAGAGTTCTGGTCAGCCAGGGCTACACAGAAAAACCCTATCTCATAAATAAATAGATAAATAAATAAAGAAAGAAAAGAAAAGAGAGAAATCATTGACAAAGTTTGTGTTTTATTTTGATGGTCTGAGTGCTCTGGGAGGTCCTGGGGATACAGCTGTGGACTTAGTACAGAGAAAGACACCATTTTTTAAAATGGAGTTTACAGATGAACAGTAAACATGTATCATTAAAGAAGCAGAAATGGGAATGGAAACTTTTTATTTATTTATTGGTACAGGGACTTGAACGCAAGTGCTCTACTACTGAGCCATGTCTAGTTCTATTTTATTTTTGTTTCTAGACAGGATCTCAATGTTACCCAGGCTGTCGTCTGTTATTGCACTCCATAGTCCACACAGGCCTTGAAATGGCAGTGTCTGTTGTTGACTTTGAGTAGGTGGGACTGACCATATTTCGTGTTATCTCCAAGGCCAGTGCATTTAGTGTTTTGTAATGAAGTCTTGTTGTGATGCTGACCTTGAACCGCTGAGTACTGAGTCTCACCTCCACTCCCTCCTAGCTGGGCAGTGTGCCGCAGTATCCTGCTCATGGGGTCTCACTGTGAAGCTCTGGTGTCTTGTAGGCGGGCCTAGAACTTGCTTTGTGGACCAGGCTGACCCCAAACACCTCTGCACCCTGAGTGCTGGCGTTAAATGTGACCACACCTGGCCCCAAGGGGAAGTATTTTTTTTTATTTATTATGTATACAATATTCTGTCTGTACATATGTCTGCAGGCCAGAAGAGGGCACCAGACCTCATTCCAGATGGTTGTGAACCACCATGTGGTTGCTGGGAATTGAACTCAGGACCTTTGGAAGAGCAGGCAATGCTCTTAACCACTGAGCCATCTCTCCAGCCCCCAAGGGGAAGTATTTTTGATGAGTGGTCCGAGTAGTTCTTGGGGAGGTGACATCTGAGTAATGACCCCCAGAAAGGGAAGACCAAGCTGTTGTAGAGAACCAAGAGAAAAACACCAAGGTCCAAAAGGATGCCTTGGTGGGTTCAGGAATCGGAGATGGGGGGAGGTGTAAGGAGTGGGGAGGGAGAGGAGGCAAGCGGACAAAGAGTAGATTGTGGCCTGGCAGAGGACTAGAAGCCGCTCAGCTGCCCAGTGGGGACTGGTACAATAGATAGGGATTTATTTGTTCACATAATGGGACCTGCTCGGACTCAAGCAGCAGGTGTGTAGGTGCTGAGAAAATAGATCGCCTCTGATGGTGAGGAAGAAAAGGGCCCGGACTGTGTGCTGTGTGCTTGGAAGTGTGTTTGTCTGAAGGGCTCTGCTTGGGGTGAATGCTGCGATCCAGAGTCTGCCAGAACAGGAAAGGAACTCATCAGACAGGGGTTTGGAGATGGGAGGTGGGGGTGAGAAGTGGGGCGGCCTTCCTGTTACTCTCCGCCCTTTTATATCATTTGATGTTGTGCTCTGTGGTTTGTATTCGAGGCCTCTTCCCACAAAGCTCATTTGGTGAGGTCCTGATGCCCAGGTGGCAGTGCCCTTGAGAGTGATTGCATCATCAGGATGCTAACTTCATCAACAGCTAAGCTACCGCTGAATTCCTACCCAATAGGCTGTTAGGAGGTCAGTCTTGGTGGAAGGAGATCTGGGGGCCTGCCTTTGAAGGGTGAATCTTGACTTTGCCTGCTGCCTGTGGCTCCCATGCTTCCTTAGCTGCTTGCTGTGAGGTGAGCATTTCCCCCTCCCCATGCCCCTCCATCTTGACATTCGGTCTTGCTATAGGCGCAGAGTCGGTTGACCCAAGCATGGAGTGCCGCCTCTGAACTGTGAGCCATTGTAAATCCTTGTCTTAAGTGGTTTGCATCAGGTATTTGTCTTTGTGATGACCAAGCTTACCACTGGGAAGTACAGTAAAACAACCTTCAGCCATCCAGCCCAGTCTATGCAGGCAGACCCCACCAGCCCTGATGTTCCCCATCCCTTAGTCACACCCATTTCTTACCGGGAACTAAGACAGACAGACAGACACACTGGGAAGGTTCTGCAAAGACCTTCTTCTTCTTCTTTTTTTTTTTTTTTTTTTTTTTTGACAAAACTGACAAGTTTCTTGGAAAGCCATCAAAAGGTTGTAAGCAGAAGTTGATTCCTCCTCCCCCTATCCCCCTCTTTTTTTGATGGGGCTAATAATAAACCTGGGGCCGTGCATATTCTGTCCTTGCAACTTAATGTTAGCCTACATTTTTGGTAGCAATACTGTAGCTAGCTAACCTTTGATTTTATGTGTTTCGGGGATAGAGTCTTTCTTTGTAGCTCAGGCTGATCTCAGAACTAACCATAGTCCTACCTCAGCCTCCTAAGTGCGTTCACACATGTCCTACCCTGCCTGATGGTCAGATTAATGTTGTAAGATGTAGTTTTACAGCCGGGCGGTGGTGGTGCACGCCTTTAATCCCAACACTCGGGAGGCAGAGGCAGGTGGATATTTGTGAGTTCGAGGCCAGCCTGGTTTAGAGAGCTAGTTCCAAGACAGGCTCCAAATGCTACAGAGAAACCCTGTCTCAAAAAACAAAAAACAACAACAACAACAAAAACAAAACAAAACAAAACAAAAAACCCCAACAAAATACAAAAAAAAATGTAGTTTTACTAATGTGTGAAGAATCATTTGGGGGTGCTGTGAATATTTAGGGAGCGAAATCCTGTTACAGTGGGCAGGGGGGGTAGATGAGGGCAGGTCATCTTAGGGTGGTGGCAGGGGGTTCATTGGGATATATTTTGGAGGTAAAAAGGACTGCATTTAGTAAGGGGCTGAATGTGGAAGCTCAGAGAAAGGGGAAAATGAAGAATTAATACTGTTTACTTCGTTCATCCACAGGAGGGATGCAGGTGTTATTTCTGAGGGGAGGACTCCCAGGGGAGGAATAGAGTTGGAGGAAATGGATCCTATTTTAGGTCTGTGGAGAGAGACCGGAACCCTGGAGTGTTAGGGTTAGTGGCGGGAATCTGAGAAGCGTCGCTCTAAAGCCACAGGACTGGGCGACAGAGCAGAGGAAGATCCTGGAAGTTTAGAAAGGGAAGGGAGAAAGCGCTCGCTGTCTCAGAGGTTGAGAAAGCAGGGTTGTTAGGGAAGTGTGGGAGGATTGCCCAGCAGCGTTGCTTGCCCTTTGAGGTTTGTGGTTTGAATCTGAAGTCAGCCCACTTGTGTGATTTTTCTCTGACAGAGCTCCGCTGTGAGGATACAGGGAAGGAAGCGGGCCAGGCCTGGTAGAAGAAAAGACCCACTGGGGAGATGGCGGCCCTTAACCTGGTAAGGAAGTATGGGCAAGGGGAGGAACCTGATTTGGGTGAAATGAGTGCTGGAGCTTGAAGTATCAGAGGCAAGGGTGTTTCGAACTCATCTGCGGGAGCTAGTGACAGGCCTGAGTTGCACCCTTGGAGTGAGACTTCTTGGGGAAACGGGGAGAGGATAAGTGGAGAAGACGTAGACTACAGAGGGATTTAAGGGGGGTGCTGGGAAAGGACCTCTGAACAGGAGCTGTCCAATGTGGGGGCCAGTGCTGGAAGGCAGAGTGGTGGGAAAGCCTCCCCGGGGCAGGGTGGGCATGGACCCCTTGGGGTTTTTTTTTTTTTTTTTTTTTTTTTTTTTTTTTTTTTTAAAAACTACTTTTGGTCAGGTATGGTGGTTGTCACCTTTTTTTTTTTTTTTTTTTTTAAATATTTATTTATTATGTATACAATATTCTTTCTACGTGGATGCCTGCAGGCCAGAAGAGGGCACCAGACCTCATTACAGATGGTTGTGAGCCACCATGTGGTTGCTGGGAATTGAACTCAGGACCTTTGGAAGAGCAGGCAATGCTCTTAACCGCTGAGCCATCTCTCCAGCTTGGGGTTTTGAAGCAGGTGGCCTGTGAGAGGAATGCTTGCTTCTTGAGCACCTGCCCGTAGAGACAGCAAGGTGTCTATCAGGAAGTGGGATTAGTTAACTCTCTCTGTGTTTTCAGAAGGCCTGATGGGAGGGTGGACTGGGCAGTGGGGGAAGACCATGCCAGGGGATGACGGGGGCTGGAGGGCTGGGGGTGGGTGGCTGCTGTGGTATGGTTTCTCTTCTACCAGCCTCCGTTTTTCATTATGCTGTGGATTTTCATCAAATGTTACTAATACAGAACATTTTCACTTAAAAACGCGTATGTTTTATTTACTTACTGAGATAGTGTCTGCTCTGTAATAGCCCAGGCTGGCTCAGTGGCTCACTATGCCCAGTACAAGATACCTTTAAAGGGTTACTGGATTTGGTTTGGAACAGACTATAGCTATCTCTGTAGAAGTGAAATTTTGGGTCATACTTATAAACCCAGCACAGGGGAGAACAGCTGAGGCAGGAGGTTCCAGACCAGCCTGGGCTACAGCATGAGACTATGTTTAAAGAAAACGACAATGGAATTTTAGGAGTAACAATGTAACAAGTTAGGGGAATGTTGTATCCCAAAGCAGCATAATGTAGGCGGCATTGTTTCCAGATGTGTGGCAGGGTAAAACCATCTAGTGTCAGCATTCATAGTGCACTTGTGTTGTGTTTTGCCGAGCATGCGCGCGCGCGCGCACACACACACACACACACACACACACACACACACACACACACGGTACATATATTGAGGCCAGAAAACAACTTCCCTTTTGTCTTGGCTGTGTTTTGAGGATTGTGTCAGGTGGTCACCTTGGTCAAAGGTGCCTTTACCTGCTGAGCCATCTTGCTGTTCCCACCTTTATAATTAACTCTTTATTGTGCGTACACATGATGTGTATGTATCTGCTTTGGCGTGTGGAGGTCAAAGGACAGCTTTGTGAGGTTGGCTCACCTTCCCTTCACCTTTTTGAGGGTTCCAGGAATGGAATGCGGGTCACTAGGCTTGTTCAGTCAGTGCCCTGTCTGCTGAGACATCTTGTTCACCCCCAAAGTACTATGTAATTTATATATGTGTGTGTGTACTCTTTTTTTTGAAAAGTACTGTTTTTAATAGCCTTCCAGGCCTCATTATAGAAATCACATTGCTTAGTGATTGCGAACTTGCTTTAAAATGCAGTGGGTTTGGATCTGATTGATGATAGAGGTCTGTGTTTTATTTTGTTTTGTTTTGATGCACTGCAGGGGATTGAGCTCAGGGCCTTTGTGTGCCAGGCAAGCCCTCTTCTACTCTGCTGTGGTTTCCATCCCTGAGATCTTTTCTTTTCTATTAGTCAGGTAGCCCTGGCTGCCTTGGAGCGCTCTGTGTAAACCAGGCTGGACTTGATCTGCCTGCCTCGCTTCTGAGTGCTGGGATAAAAGGTATAGCCCACCAGTTTGAGCTACTAGTCCCTGCCCAAGACCTTATTATGTTATTTATTTATTTATGTTTTATGTGCATTGGTGTTGTGCCTTCATGTATGTCTGGGTGAGGGTGTCGGGTCCCCTGGTTCCCTGGAACTGGAGTTACAGACAGCTATGAGCTGCCATATGGGTGTTGGGAATTGAAACTGGGGCTTCTGGAAGAACAGTCCATGCTCTTAACTATTGAACCATCTCTCCAGCCCCAAAACCTTATTTTTAATATGTATATGTGTAAGAGACCTTTTTTTAAATTTTTTGCTGTTGGTTTTTTTATTTGTTTGAGACAGGATTTCTCTGTGTATCCCTGGCTGCCTTGGAACTTGTTATTGTAGACCAGGCTAGCCTTAAACTCAGAGATCCACCTGCCTCTGCCTCCCTAATGCTGGGGTTAAAGGCATGGAGCACCACTGCTGGCAACATTTTACTGTATATATTTTAGTTTTAAGGTGACAATGTAGAAGTTTGAGGGATATTGATCAAAGGATATAAAATTTCCTTCAGAGAGAAGGATTAAGGTCAAGATCTCTGTTGCATATCATGCTAACAATGTATCTAGTAGATTTTAAGTGTTCCCTTCGCAGAAGATGATACCAGGTGAGGAAATGCTTTGTTAATTCCCTTGATGGAGCTATTCCACAAAGTGTACATATTCTAAAACATGCTGTATACGACAAATGTATACTGTATTTTGTGACTTAAAAAAATATAAGCAAACCTAGGGCTGGCTACTAGGTAAAGTGCCTGCTTTGTAAGTCTGCTGACCTGTGTTAGCTCTCCATAGCCCATAGTGAAAGGAGAGAATTGCTTCTAAGGATGTCCGTGACCTCCACAGGTATAGCTTAGCATGCATGCTCAAATTCTCTCTCACATACAATAATAAGTAGATATGCACATAAGTAATAAGGAAAGCTAATTCTTAGCACTGTCAGCTATTACACAATAATTATGTGTTCAGTAATCATTGAAAAAATACTAAATGACAAGTTACTATGTGATGGTACCTACCTGTAATGCTAGTACTTGAGAGGCTAAGGAAAGAAGATTGCTCCAGTTTGGAGGCCAGCCTGGACTATATAGTGAGTTTGAGGCTAGCCTGTACTACATAATGAGATGTGTCCTTATTTTTTTTTTTTTGTTTTTTTTTTTTTTGTTTTTCGAGACAGGGTTTTTCTGTAGCGTTGGAGCCTGTCTTGTAACTAATTCCAGCTGGCCTCCAACTCATGGAGATCCATCTGTCTCTGCCTCCCAGGTGCTGGGATTAAAGGTGTGTGCCACCACCACCCAGCCTAAAATTTTGTTTGTATGTGGATTAGTGTTTTGTCTGCATGTGTGTCTGCCTAATACCTGCAGAGGTCTGAAGAGGGCATCAGATTCCCTGGAACTGGAGTTACAGAGGGTTGTAAGCCATCGAGCCACTATGTGGTTTTTTGTGTTTTTTGAGACAGGGTTTCTCTGTGTAACAGCCTTGGCTGTCCCAGAACTCCCTTTGTAGACCAAGCTGGCCTTGAACTCTCGAACTCACTGAAATCTGCCTGTCTCTGTCTCCCAAGTGCTGTGAGCCACTATGTGGATGTTAATTTTTTTTTCAAGATAGGGTTTCTCGGCCCCAGTCACTGAGCCTCCACCGAGGATTCAGCTGCCTCCCCCTCGAGCCCCCTCGCTTCCTGACGCTCCGTGTCCCCCCCCGTTCCCCCCCCCCCGTCCCCCCCCCCCCCCCCCCCCCCCCCGCCTTCTCCCGCAGCCACCTTCTGCAGGCCGTTTCCACAGAGGAAAAGGAATCGCATTGTATGTCCGCTCTTCAGAACCTCCACTCTTTCGACCCCTTTGCTGATGCAAGTAAGGGTGATTGATGACCTGCTTCCTGCTGGCACTGAGGATTATATTCATATAAAAATTCAACAGAGAAACGGCAGGAAGACCCTTACCACTGTCCAAGGGATTGCTGATGATTACGATAAAAAGAAACTAGTGAAGGTGTTTAAGAAGAAATTTGCTTGCAATGGTACTGTAATTGAGCATCCAGAATATGGAGAAGTAATTCAGCTACAGGGTGACCAGCGCAAGAACGTATGCCAGTTCCTAATAGAGATTGGACTGGCTAAGGACGATCAGCTGAAGGTTCATGGTTTGTGGCTTTTTTTTTTTTTTTTTTGGTTTTTCGAGACAGGGTTTCTCTGTGGTTTTGGAGCCTGTCCTGGAACTAGCTCTTGTAGACCAGGTTGGTCTCGAACTCACAGAGATCCGCCCTGCCTCTGCCTCCCAAGTGCTGGGATTAAAGGCGTGCGCCACCACCGCCCGGCTAGGTTCATGGGTTTTAAGTGCTTGTGACTCTGAAGCTTAAGTGAGGATTTCCTTGCAATGAGTAGAATTTCCCTCCTGTCCCTTGTCACAAATTTAAAAACCTCACAGCTTGTATAATGTAACCATTTGGGGTCCGCTTTTAACTTGGACTAGTGTAACTCCTTCATGCAATAGACTGAAAAGAGCCATGCTGTCTAGTCTGGAAGTCCCTCATTTAAACAGGTCAAGCAGTAGCCCCGGCAATGTCCAGCCTGAAACAAAGCAGTAACTATGTTTCAGCCAAGCCCAGAGCCCCAAGTTCATAGGCTATGTCTGCCCAGAAACTCCTTGGCTCTCCCCCTACAGAATCCCCTGCCCTAGGAGAATGTCACCACTTGAACAGCCCAGGTGAACAAGAGAATGGGTAACACCACAGTAGCTATGCCACTAGAGGGAATCTCTAGCAAGAGCCCCTGGTGTCCGACCAGGTAGGCAGAATTCAGAAATGGTCATGGACATGTGGCTTGCCACCAGGGTAATGTTTTTAGCCAGGCATATCGCAAGGGATGTTGGAAGAACTGAAGGGTGGGGCCAGCCTCGTATCAATTAAACTTATGACTAGGGAACAAATACCAAACTGATGCCATCGGTCATGTGGCTAGCTGTATGTTTCAACTCAATGGTAGCAGCTACCCAGTGCCATGTGAAGGAACAAACTGGTTTTTTGGTTTTCTTTTCCCTTACAGTTTTAATGTTATGTAATGTATTTAAACCCTATTTAAATAAAACTTGTTTTCAGAAAAAAAAAAAAAAGATAAAGATAGGGTTTCTCTGTGTAACTTTGGAGCCTGTCCTGTCCTGTCCTGGTAGATGTTTTTTTTTTTTTTTTTTTTTTTTTTGGTTTTTCGAGACAGGGTTTCTCTGTGGTTTTGGAGCCTGTCCTGTCCTCTTGTAGACCAGGCTGATCTCGAACTCACAGAGATCCGCCTGCCTTTGCCTCTCAAGTGCTGGGATTAAAGGCATGTGCCACCACCACCCGGCCTGATAGATGTTAATGCTCTTAACTGCTAAGCCATTTCTCCAGCCCCTAGGATGTGTCTTTAGGGGAAAAAAAAGTAAGCTAGTCATGATGGTGGATGTCTTTAATTAACAGCATTTGGGAGGCAGAGGCAGGTATATGTGCGTTCAAAGCCAACCTGGTCCTCATATTGAGTTCCTGGCCAGCCTAGGTACATATAGCAAGACCCCATCCCATTTTTTTTTTTTTTTTAAATGTAGCTCATCTGGTAGAGGGTTTCCCGAGCGTGAAGGAGGCTGTGGGTTTCATTTCCAGAACTGCTGAAGTGGCTGTGGTCACGGACACCCGTGATCCTAGCACTCTTGGGTGGCGGAAGCAAGACAAGTCATCCTTGACTCTGTAGAGTCCAAAGCCAGCTTAGAAGACCTAGACCCTCCCTGGTTAGAAAGAGAAGGGTGGGCTGGAGAGATGGCTCAGCCGTTAAGAGCTCTGGACACTCTTCCAAAGGACCTGGGTTCAATCTCAGCACCCACATGGCAGCTCCCAACTGTCTGTTACTCCAGGTCTAGGGGATGTGGCACCCTCACACAGACACACATGCAGGCAAAACCCCAGTACACATTAAAAAAAACAAAAAAGAATGTCTTAACTTTGTGGCATCCTCACATAGAAAGAAGGAAAAGGAAGGAAATACTTAAATAAAATAAAGAAATAAATTGAGCTTTATTAATTGTAGCAGAGCTGGCTAGATTTGAAAGACAGCAGCCATACCCAGTGTGTGTTCACGGTGGTTGACATGGTGAAAACAAAATGTGCTGACATCCAGACTTGGCAGCGACCCCCTGTGTTCAGGGCCCCTAGCTCACATCTGAGTGGAAGCCGTCTCTGGGCTGCGGAGGATGTATGTGCACGGTGTTCTTTTTAATTATTGTAATTACATAGGACCAGATGCTATAATAGTGTTCATTTCAAGTGGCAGTCTGCCAGCAGCAGGTGACTGTTTAAAACTGTTTTCCCATATGCTTATTAAGACTTCTCGGTTTCATCTGTATGGCTTAGGATAAAGTGGTTAAAATCCACATGGTCTCAGATATCTCAGTACATACATACATACATATACAGAAGTATCCATGTGGCTCTGAATTATACAACTATTACTGCTAAAGCAGTAGTAATCTCAACTTGTTGCGTTTTAATGTAGGGATTCATTCATACTCACACTGTGTGTGGGGGAATGGTGCACACGTGTTGGGGTAAGAGGGTAACTTGAAGGAGGGAGTTGGTTCTCTACTCTCTGTGTGGGTCTTGGGGATCCAACTCAGATCATCAGGCTTGGCGGCTTGTGTTCTAACTGACTGAGCCATCGTGTTGGCTCTAGCTTTTCCTATTACTACATTTTACTTTTTTTTTTAATATTTATTTATTTATTATGTGTACATCATTCCTTCCATGTGTACCTGCAAGCCAGAAGGGGATGCCAGGTCTCATTATAGATGGCTGTGAGCCACCATGTGGTTGCTGGGAATTGAACTCAGGACTTCTGGAAGAGCAGTCAGTGCTCTTAACCACTGAGCCATCTCTCCAGCCCTACATTTTACTTTTTTATATCTTATGTTCTTACAGTGTTTTGAGGTGGAATGTGTTCAGGTAGAAGGAGTGTTTTCTTTGCTTCTTTTTTCTCTTAGGTACTCCCAGGCAGGTCTAGAATTTACTGTATATCAGGGATGACCTTAAATAATAATAATAATTATAATAATAATAATTCTCCTCCTCCTCCATCACTTATACAGTGTTCTGTCTGAATGCATCCCTGCCTGCAAGAAGAGGGCACTAGTTCTCATTACAGATGGTTGTGAGCCACCATGTGGTTGCCAGGAACTGAACTCAGGGCCTCTGGAAGAGCAGCCAGTGCTCTTAACCACTGAGTCATCTCCCCAACCCCAACCTTGAATTGCTACGTCCACCTCTCCAGTGCTGGTATTACAGGCATACATTACTATGCCTGGTCTATATGGTGCTGGGGGCCAAACTCAGGACTTCCTGAATTCCATGCAAGCAATTTACCAAGACCAAGAACTGTAATTTTGGTAGCAACACATGATAAGCTCTTGTTTTTGTAACTTCTGGAATTATAAACAGGTTATATTGTCAGAGTTTTTAGTTTTATTATTGGCTCATAAATTTGTTAGCATTTTTCAGAAGGAATGATTTCAAAGTGAAATTAGCTACATTCTTATTTATTTGGGACTAAAACAATTTTCTTTTGGAGGGATGGGTTTATCAGTGGCTTTCTGTGTATCCTGGGCTAGTCTTGATGATTCTGCCTCAGTCTCCTGACACTAAGATTACAGATGAATGCCACCATGCCCAGTTAAAGTGAAAGTATGTATTAATGTATTCAAACAGATTTTATTTTATTTGTATGTCTGTCTGTTTTCTTGCATGTATATATGTATGTGCACCACATGTTTCTTGGAACTGAAGCGCTAAAAATTGAACCTGTGGTGTCCTCTGGAAGAGCAGCCAGTGCTTTTTTTTGGCCGTTTTCAGCTTGCAGTCAGTGCTTTTAACCACTAAACCATTTCTCTAGATTTTTTTTAGGTTTGTTTTTTATTATTTTAAATTATATGTAGGTATATGTATCTGCAGGTGCATGCATGCACATGGGTGCAGGTTCCCATGGAGACCAGAGGCAGCAGATCCCCTAGAGCTGGAGATACAGACACTGTGAACTGCCTGATACATAGATGCTGGGAACTAGGCTCAGCTCTAGTTCCTCTGGAAGAGCAGTCCATGCTCCCAACACTGAGCTGACTCCTCAGCCCTGAGCAGACTCTTTATTTTAATCAACATTTCCAATATTACTTGGAACTTTTTTGGTTTTGTTTGTTGGTTTGTTTTTCGAGACAGGATTTTCTATGCAGTTTTGAAGCCTTTCCTGGAACTCACCCTGTAGACCAGGCTGTCCTCGAACTCACAGAGATCCTCCTGCCTCTGCCTCCCGAGTGTTGGGATTAAAGGCATGTGCCACCACCACTGCTTGGCTTAATTGGAACTTTTGTTACTTACTTTTAAGAGCTAAGTTCTTCTGTGTTGTCTGTTTACCTCCTTTGCTTTTTCTGTAAAAATGAATGCTTTTCTTCTCCATTTGCACTACTGTTCCTTCTACTGGGTATATTCTTTTGTTGAGGTTTCTTTTTCTACTCCAGGACTAGCCCGTGACTACAATACATAATTTTCAATACAGTTTTCTGGTACCAGATAGCTTATGAGATGAAGTTGTGATTATTCATTGACTGGTCATAAACCTACTAGTTCAGATTTCACAAAACTTATTTCAGATAGATTGGGTTATCATTCTCTCTGTCTGTTTTTCTGGTGTGTGTGTGTGTGTGTTTGTAACAGATCTCCTGTAGCCCAGGCTGACTCAAACTCACTTGGTAGCTGAGGATGAACTGAGCTAACTCGATTCTTCTGCCTGAACTTCCCAAGTGCTGGCGTTAGAGGCATGTGCCAATAGGTCTGCTTTTTGCTTGAAAAAAGAAATGTCAATAATGTATCTTTGTCTTTCCAGAAAGAAGTGATGTAATTTATCACTGAAGACTGAAGTCGGGGTGAAGAGGGAGGCGGGCGAGCATGGCCTGGCCACGATTTCTGCAGAGGGGGTCTCTGCTCAGCGGCTTCAGCCATCACCATGTCGCCGTGTTCCTGCTCACTTTCTTCAGGTAGTGGCTTCCCGACTCTTCCCGACTCGTCCGAAGAGTGGTGTTGCAATCAGAGAGCCCAGTGTGCCGGTTGACACGGGCTTCCGTCTGTACCTCATTTGTTTTGTTTCAGTTTTGATGCTTGGCACGGAACTCATGGCTGCAAGCTTGCTGAGTGCATTCTGTGTTGCTGAGCTAAACCTCTCACGCTCAGCTGTGCTTTCACCCCCCAAATATTTAATGACATTCTCAGAAGTCAAAGTGTAGCTCTGGTTGTACTGGAACTTGCTATGTAGGTCAGGCTGACCTTGAACTCACAGAGTTCTCTGCCTCCTGAGTGCTGGGATTAAAACGTGTGCCACCTCACGTGGCTACAATTTGACATTGTTAAAAACTTTATGTGTATGAATGTTTTGTCTGCATGTACACCACATGCTGTAAGTATACCACATGCATGCAATGCCTGTGGAGGCTGGAAGAGGGCATTGGAGCTCTTGGAAGTGAAGTAATTAAGGGTTATGAACCATCACATGGGTGCTCAGAAACTAAACCTGGCTCCTCTGCAAGAGCAGCAGCAAGTATTCTGTTCCCTCCCTTCCTCCCTCCCTCCCTCCCTCCCTCCCTCCCTCCCTCCTTCCCTTCCTTCTTTCTTTCTTTTTTTCGGGACAGAGTTTCTCTGTGTGTAGCTCTGGCTGTCCTGGAATTAGCTGTGTAGACCAGGCTGGTCCCAAACTCACAGAGATCCACCTGCCTCTGCCTCCCGAGGGCTGGAATTGAAGGTGCATGCCACCACCACCACCTAGCTAGCATCAAGTGTTTGTATTTATTGAGCCAGCTTCCAGCTCACATAATTCAATTTTAAAGTTTTATTTTAATTAATTTCTGTGGTGATGGGAATGAAATCATAGCATTTTATTTGTGCTTAGCAGCACATTTTGTTTTGTGGCTCTTAATTATTATTACTATTATTTTTGTAACTTTATGTATAGAATTCAGTCCTGGCATGTAATTCTAGGCTGAGCCCCTGAGCTTTATTTCCAACTCTATTTTTATGGAGACCAGGTACATCTTTGTGGTTTCAAGGCTAGCCTGATTATGTGTGTGTGTGTGTGTGTGTGTGTGTGTGTGTGTGTGTGTCCCACTGCCTCTGTGCTTGTATTATAGATGTGCATTCTGATATCCCTATTATACTTTGTTGATGGCTAGGATAATAGTTCTCAAGGTCATTTTGTTTTCTAGGGGTGATTTGACAGTCTGTGACATTTTGATTGTCCTGATGGAGGTTTACTATTTTCATTTAGTGTCAGAGACCAGGTGTGCTGCAAGTGTTCAACCTTGACAGAGAACTTGTTGATATACATTGTTGCAGATGTTGAGAAACCCCAATCTGATGTCAGGTGCTCTCTGTTGAAACCTGGAGCTTGAAACAAAGATGTGTGTGCTCAGGAGAGATGGACAGAGCCTCTGAGAGCAGCAAAGATGAGAGGGATGTTGTCAGGAGTTTGGGTTACTCCTGTGATCCTTGAGGCTTAGCAGCCCCGAACTAGTCCACATGACTGGAGGAGTTGTCTGTGTTTATGGTTCTATAGTCCTAAGTGACGTTTTTAGTACCATTTAATTATCGCGAGTGCCCTCTGCCATGGCGTGAGCGTGGAGGTCAGAGGACAAGATCTTGGAACCGTTCCTCACCTTTTACCACGTGTGCCCTAGGGATTGAATTTAGGCTGTTCGGCTTGGAGCCAGATCCTTTAGCCACTGAGTCATCCCACCAGCCCTATTTAATCTTTATCGAAAACACTACACATGTTATTTTGTGACATTGGTGTTTTGCCTGCATGCATGTCTGTGCGAGGCGTTGGAGCCCCTGCAACTGGAGTTACAGACAGTTGTGAGCTGCCATGTGGGTGCTGGGAATTGAAACCAGGTCCTCTGGAAGAACAACCAGTGCTCTTGCCTGCGGAACCCTCTCTCCAGCCCCAGCAGAGCCTGCCTTCATTGGCAGCTTTTGCAGTTTTCCTTGTAAAGCTTCCAAACTTGAATAAAACAAATGTGCACCTTTGGTTTTTGTTGAACGCTGTTTTCTTTGCTTCTCATTCAGTTCTGTTTTCTCTCTGTGTTTTGCAGCTATTCGTTGCTCCACGCGTCAAGAAAAACATTCAGCAACGTCAAAGTCAGTATTTCCAAGCAGTGGACCCCAAGTGCTTTTAACACATCCGTTGACCTGCCTGCAGAGGTACGCGGAGTGCTGGGGTGGAGCTAAGAAGAGCTCTCCCTTAAGCGATTCCTAAGTTCTTTTCATATCATCTGATCAGGACTTTGAAACAACTTACTGTGTCTTAGAGTTTGAGCTCCAGACTGCTGTGAGTTCAGAACCTTCAGATTCAGCCCAGGCACCTAGCCCAACACCGTGTTTCTCTCTGTTGGGAATTCACACAGCTCTGGTCATTGAGTTTTGCAAGTGCTGTGTGCATTTCTCCCTTTGATTTAGTTATTTAGTTTTCATTTTTTATTTTTTATTCTAGTCTTGCACCTTTCTCCTTTCCCTCCTCTCTTCCTTCCTCTCCTCTCCTTTCTCTCTCTCCTTTTCTTCCTTTTTTAAATTTTTTTTTTTTTTTAATTTTTTGAGACAAGGTCTTTATGTAGTTAGTCCTGGCTGGCTTAGGACTCACTCTGAAGATCAGGCTAGCCTTGAACACACTGCCTGCCTCTGCCTCCCAAGTGCTAGTATTAAAGGTGAGCGCACCACTGCCTGGCTTCTTCTTTTTGGAGACAGGGTTTCTCTATGTAGTCTGGCTACTCTGGAACTTGCTCTGTAGACCAGGCTGGCCTCAAACTCACAGAGATCCACCTGCTTCTCCCTCCCGAGTGCTAGGAGTAAGGTATGCACCATCCAGCTGGCTACTTTTTTCTTTTTCTTTTTGGTTTTTCTCTGTAGCTTTTGGAGCCTGTTCTGGAACTAGCTCTTGGAGACCAAGCTGGCTTCGAACTCACAGAGATCAGCCTGTCTCTGCCTCCCAAGTGCTGGGATTAAAGGTGTGCGCCACCACCGCCCGGCAAGTACTCTTAACTGGTGAACTATCTCTCCAGCCCCTCCTCACCCATTTTCTGCCTAAATTTTGCCATTCCCTTTGGGGCGAGATAAATACCTTTTTTTTAAAAAATATTTATTTATTTATTATGTATACAATATTCTGTCTGTGTGTATGCCTGCTGGCCAGAAGAGGGCACCAGACCCCATTACAGATGGTTGTGAGCCACCATGTGGTTGCTGGGAATTGAACTCAGGACCTTTGGAAGAGCAGGCAATGCTCTTAACCTCTGAGCCATCTCTCCAGCCCCCTTTTTCTTTTTTTAGAAAAAGAATGAATTTTATTTATTTGTATGTTTTGAGTGTTCTTTCAAGTGTTTGTTCTTTCCATCATGTGGTCCTAGATTTTGAAGTCCTTGCCAGTCCCTCATTTCTTTTGTTTGAGCAAAACATCTTTGGGTCCTCCAGCTGTAGTTCGGTGACCTTGAGCTCTCAGTGTGGGACTCAGCTTCAGTCTGCTCAGTGTCCAGAAATCTGGGATTTGTATTTGGGGACTCTGGGTCCCCAGGTGTGATGGGTTAGTGGCAGCTTAGAGCACTCAGCATTGGGGTTTACTGCAGGGAAAGGGCAGGAAGTGAAATTAGCAAACGGAAAAGCGCCCAGCGTGAAGCCGGCAGGAAACCACGCAGAGTGTTTCTAGTTTTCTAGTTTTTAACAAGAGCCGTGAATTGCTGTCTACCAGGGTTTTTATTGGCGCTGGTCACACAGGCACACTGAGATTCCAGAGTCTTGGGAAAGCAGGGTTCAGGATTGCTGGGTGCAGAGAGTGGGAGTCCTCCCTAGTCTGGTTAGGGTGATCTGATGTTTAGGGGTTAGCCTTGTGAGCAGGCTTCACTAAGAGCCGCCTTGGGCCTGGTTGTCTCTTCATGGTGGTGACCACTCACACTGTTAGCTCCTATGGGACAGTGTCGGCTCTTTAACCTGCTTGCTGCTTAATCCACCCGTCCTGGTACTGGGGATCGGATCCAGGGTCTCATCTGCACTAAGCAAGCACCCCACCACGGGGCTTCACCCCCAGTCCTTTAGGTATTTATTCGACTCTAATTGATGTCGCAGTAGGTGGTGCTATTCTTTTTCTGCAGAACTGCTGACTTTGCAGTCTGCATTGACTGCTCAGCTCCACAGAAGTCAGGCTCTGGCGTGCCACGTAGAGCTCTGAGTTTCTTTACAATCCCATCCTGTTGATGCCCACACTCTGACCCAAGGCAGAAACTGGGAAACTAATTTAAATCCACCAGCCCCCAGGATTTTACCTTCTGTTAAATTACAATATTTTGGGTGGTTGAGAGCACTGACTGCTCTTCCAGAGGACCTGGGTTTAATTCCCAGCACCCACATGTCAGCTCACAATGGTCTGTAACTCCACTTCCAAGGGACCTGATACCCATGGCAAAACACCAATGCCCATAAAATAAAAAAATTAATTAAAAAAAAAGGTTCGCCTGGCAGTGGTGGTGCATGCCTTTAATCCTAGCACTTGGGAGGCAGAGGCAGGTGGATCTCTGAGTTCCAGGCCAGACTGGTCTGCAAGAGCTAGTTCCAGGACAGGCTCCAAAGCTACAGAGAAACCCTGTCTTGAAAACAAACAAAACAAAACAAAACAAAAAAAAAGAAAAGGTTCAGTAATTTTGGTCTGGAAAGATGAATGCTCAGCAGTTAGGAGCACTTGTCCCTGCAGAGGACCCGAGCTGGGGTCTCGTCACCCATGCCAGGCAGCTCACAGTCACTGGGAATTTCATTTCCAGGGGCTCCGATGCCTCTGGTGTCTGGGGCACCTGCACTTATGTGCAAGCATGTGCATGCCCCACCCCACAGTAAGACAGAGATAAAAATAAATATTTAACTTTTTAAAATTACATTTATTTATTTTATGTGTATATCGTGGGCACCTGCATGCCACGGCAGTATGTAGAGGACAGGATGGTGTCCGGAGTCCACTTTCTCCTTCCACCATTGGGTCAGCTCAGGTGGTCTGGATTATACCTGTGATCTGCCTCGCTGACTCCAAAAATAAATCTTAAAAAACAATACCGCCAACAATAAAGTTTCTCTCTAGTTTTCTGAAGTGCACAGTCTAACCTCTGCCCTAACCCTCAAGCCGTAGAGCTGTGTCCTGCCCCAAATGCTCCGGCCTTCATTTGGGGTCAGGTCTTGCTGCAGTCCCAGCTCCAGGCAGCGGCTCATCTGGGAGGCTGTTTTTGTTCTATTTTTTTATTAATTAAAAAAAATTTTATGTGTATGAGTGTTAAGCTTGCATGTGTGCACATGTGTGCCTGTTTCCAACTGAGGCCAGAAGAGGGCGTCAGGTTCTCGGGAGCTGGATTTTTGGGTAGTTGTGTGCCACCATGCGGGTGCTGGGAATAGAACCTGCTCTTAACCTCTGAACCATATCTCCAGCCCCAGGGAGTCATTTTTTAAAGTATATAAAACATGGCTTTCCTGGATGGAGGTGCATGTGGTTTTTAATTCCTGCATATTTAATTCACCCAGAACTTATTTCTTCTAAATGCTTGCGTTTGCATACACAACCTAGTCTTTTTTTTTTAATTTTTTAAAAATATTTATTTATTATGTATACAATATTCTGTCTGTGTGTATGCCTGCAGGCCAGAAGAGGGCACCAGACCCCATTACAGATGGTTGTGAGCCACCATGTGGTTGCTGGGAATTGAACTCAGGACCTTTGGAAGAGTAGGCAATGCTCTTGACCTCTGAGCCACCTCTCCAGCCCCCCACAACCTAGTCTTATTACTGGAATGACTTGGTCACCAGCGTCTTGGCGGTTTGACTGAAGAGAAAGAAAGGGTTAACTAAGGAACATCCTCAGTGCGCTAGAAGTAGTAGTGGGTCCTTGGCAGAGCTGGACTTTGCAAGTGTGCAGCTTTTCACACGGGGGCTCTGATGGTGTGTGCCCTTTCCACGTGTGTACACGCGTGACTGTTTCCTTGCCTCCAGGCTTGTGTGGGATGTGTGGGGTGGAGGTGGACGCGGGTGGCTGGGAAGTGTGAGGCACTAGAGTCGCACAGAGTGACTTGTCCTGGTCCTGTGTTTCTGCAGGTCTGGAGCAGCAACCATTTGTTCCCCAGCACAGAGGAAGCCACTCTTTTCCTTGGAACACTAGATACTGTTTTTTTGTTCTCCTATGCTGTGGTAAGTTTTAAAATTTTGGAGGTTTTTTTTTTGTCTGTTTTTGTTTTTTAAATAACTACTTAAAGTTTTGTTCTGTTTTGTTTTTTAAGACAGCCCTGACTGTGTAGCCCTGGCTGTCTTGGAAGTCACTCTCCCCAGAGTGGCCTTGAACTCACGGAGTTCCACCTGCCTCTGCTTCCTGAGTGCTGAGATTAAACGCGTGTGCCACCACTGACTGGCTGAAAATTTATTTTTTTTAATGTGTCTTTATTCATGTGTATGAACATTTTGCCTGCATGTATGTCTGTACACCACATATATGCTTGATGTCTATAGAGGTGAAACAGGGCATCAGATTCCCTGAAACCAGGCGTACAGACAGTTTTGATCCACCGTGTGAGTTCTGGGAGTGAAACCCCGGAAGAGCAACCAGTGCTCCTAACCACCAAGCTATCTTTCTAGCCCCTAATTGGTTCTTTCTGTTGATTTGCCTTTATTTTTGTGGTCTCCAGGCATGGCGCTTTCTGGAGCAGTACGGAACCAGTTGGTCCCCTCATCAGAAAGAGAGCTGAGGGTTTTTCACTGCCCTCTTCCTCACAGATCCACAAGGCCTCCTGTGGCCTTTGTAGAGCAGAGTCTACTGCTATGCTTCCAGTGTGCAGGGATGAGCTCTCCTTGTCATTTTTATCCTTTGAGGCTTCTGTGTTATTAAGGCAGTCGGTTTATCAGAATTAGTTGGTCCTGTGTCCATTTATGTTTGAAGTCAAGACAGTGACTCCAAGGTGTGTTGCACTTAAGGTATTTAGTTCCTGCTGGGTCCTAGGAGAGGAGGGAAGCAGCCACTTGTGCCTTTCGTTGGCCATCGCCCTCCTAGCCTTCCCATCTTCCTTGCTTTGTGATGCCCTGAAATCGAAGAGGAACATGCAGCTGGGTGCAGCATCACTTCTGTCCTGTGCCTTACAAGAGCCAGTCCGTGCATGTGTGGAACACTTCTGTTTTTGTTTCTCTTTTGTTTTCTGAGACAGGGTTTCTCTGTACCTTGGGAGCCTGTCCTGGAACTCACAGAGCTCTGCCTGCCTCTGCCTCCTGAGTGCTGGGACTAAAAGCATATGCCACTACCACCCAGCGTGGGGACACGCTTTAACCCCAAGTGCAAATGGTTCGGAGAATCCTGCAGGAAGCCTCAGGACCACTGTTTAATCTAGTTCATCCAGAAAATGGAACATGCCTGGGGGCTTGTTCTGTCTTCTTCTGCCGATGTTTGCTGAGGTTCTGACATCCATAGACAGTTAGGGTAGAGATGTGAGTGAGGTTGGACTTTTCCAGTTACCTCCCTTTAGTTTGCCCCGTTTGTAACATGTGCTTCCAGTTTAGACCGTTACTGTGTGGAGCCATCAGTGAAATGCTTTCTCTTTAGGGCCTCTTCATCAGCGGCGTCATTGGGGACCGGCTGAATTTGCGATGGGTGCTGTCTTTTGGCATGTGCTCTTCTGCATTTGTGGTAAGTTGAAAGATTCTTATGGGGATAGTGGTTATTACTGGGCTGTCCAGATGGCTTACAGGTTAGAGGAGCTTGCTGTGCAAATCAGATGACCTGAGTTCAATCCTCTGATCCCACAGTGGATGGGAGAGGCACGCCGAAAAGTTGCCCTCTGACCTCCACGAGTGCACTCTGGCATGTGTGTACTCCAACTCATACTTGCATATCATAAACATAAGCATGAATAATGAATAAAATTTAAAAACACACAGCTACTGCTATTTTGATCAGATGGTCTAGATCATGGCTACCCCTTTCCTCTGGATCTAGCGTGGAGGAATGAGGCTAGTCTTCATGCCGTCTGTCATCCTGTGTGTCTTTCACGTAGGCCGATCTTTCTACAGCAAGAACCCTGGCGTCCTCCCTTGATTCCCATAGTCTGAATAAACAGCACGGTGGTGGGGCTCTCTGGAGCCTGGTCTCAGGTTGCCTGACAGTCACGCTCGCTTGCCTGCCCTGACTGTTGATTCCCTAACCTGGCCACTGTTCGCTACCCAATGCTTTTATTCTCCATCTTCTTGCCTCAGGCGGCCCTGTCGTGGCCAGGTGACACCCCTGTCTCTGCTCCTCTCTCTGAGGTCCTGCTCTGGCAGGAATCACTCATGGCCTCTTCTGGGCTCTTAAATGCGTTTTTCCCTCTTCACCTGTGCTTAGATTTCAGTCTTGCTTTCCAGAGTAAGCCCCCAGACCCTAGCCTGGGACAGCTCAGCTTGCCTCCTCTTTCTCCAGTGTTTTCCCCTTCCTCATTTGCCAAGGGGATGTGCAGATCCCTTTCTCGCACAGTTCAGCAAGGGTTGTGTGTGTGTGTGTGTGTGTGTGTGTGTGTGTGTGTTTGTGTGTATACAAATGGCACCTGATAGTGAGGTGCTATGCAGGGCAGCATCTGAATCAGAGTCATCTTGCTGGGTTCTTATTGATTGATTTGAATCAACTCCTAGACTTTATTTATTTATTTATTTATTATGTATACAATATTCTGTCTGTGTGTATGCCTGCAGGCCAGAAGAGGGCACCAGACCTCATTACAGATGGTTGTAAGCCACCATGTGGTTGCTGGGAATTGAACTCAGGACCTTTGGAAGAGCAGGCAATGCTCTTAACCTCTGAGCCATCTCTCCAGCCCCTCATCTCCTAGACTTTAGTCAGATTCTGATTTATTTTAGTCTTTCAATGTCTGCCATTTGCATACTGAAAAAACTTTTTTCTTAAAGTTTTAGATATCAAAACACCGTTTTATAAGCCAATGAGCTGCACTTATATACTTTTTTAATATTTAAGAACATTCAGATGTATATATAAACCCTTTAGGTTGTAGTCTTGTTTCCACAGACAAGCATGATCCAATAACTACCTCTCCCTCTTCCCACAGCGGCTGGCAACCATTGACCATTTTCCTGTCCTATTCTAGACTTACAGCTGAGAGCTACAGTATTCTACTTACCCACGCCAAGTCCTCTCAGAATAGACTTGAACTGCAAATAAAATGTCCCTTTGAGCAGAATGTCTGCGCATGATGGAAACTGTTGAATAATTCAGCAGATGATAGGCAGGGCTCGCTTACATGACTGAACTTAGTAACTGCCTAGCCACAGCTGGCTTACCTGGGACAGTCCCGCAGTCACAGCTGGCTTACCTGGGACAGTCCTGCAGCCACAGCTGGCTCACCTGGGACAGTCCCGCAGTCACAGCTGGCTTACCTGGGACAGTCCCGCAGTCACAGCTGGCTTACCTGGGACAGTCCCTCAGCCACAGCTGGCTCACCTGGACAGTCCTGCAGTCACAGCAGGCTTACCTGGGACAGTCCTGCAGCCACAGCTGGCTTACCTGAGACAGTCCCTCAGTCACAGCTGGCTCACCTGGGACAGTCCTGCAGCCACAGCTGGCTCACCTGGGACAGTCCTGCAGCCACAGCTGGCTTACCTGGGACAGTCCTGCAGCCACAGCGGGCTTACCTGGGACAGTCCTGCAGTCACAGCGGGCTTACCTGGGACAGTCCTGCAGTCACAGCTGGCTCACCTGGGACAGTTCCGCAGCCACAGCTGGCTCACCTGGGACAGTCCCGCAGCCACAGCGGGCTTACCTGGGACAGTCCTGCAGTCACAGCAGGCTTACCTGGGACAGTCCCGCAGCCACAGCTGGCTTACCTGGGACAGTCCCGCAGCCACAGCTGGCTCACCTGGGACAGTCCCGCAGCCACAGCTGGCTCACCTGGGACAGTCCCGCAGCTACAGCTGGCTTACCTGGGACAATCTTACAGTCACAGTGGGCTTACCTGGGACAGTCCCGCAGCCACAGCTGGCTCACCTGGGACAGTCCCGCAGCTACAGCTGGCTTACCTGGGACAATCTTACAGTCACAGTGGGCTTACCTGGGACAGTCCCGCAGCCACAGCTGGCTTACCTGGGATAGTCCCGCAGCTACAGCTGGCTTACCTGGGATAGTCCCGCAGCCGCAGCGGGCTTACCTGGGACAATCTTTCAGTCACAGTGGGCTTACCTGGGACAGTCCCGAAGCTCAGCGCCTGGTTCTGTTCTGACCCAGTGTGCACACCTGGGTTTGTGTTGTGCTTCAGTCCTCTGGAGATTGCTGTTCCTAGAGGGGATGAGGGAATAGATGGAAAACAAGGCCTCTGCTTCTAGAGTGGAGGGTGCAAGTTGAAGGGAGTATGTGTGTTCACGTGTGTGTGTTCACGTGTGTGTGTTCGCGCGCGTGTGCTTATGCAGGTGCACGCATACAGAAGCCAGTGGAGAACATTGTGGGTTTTGCTCTCTCACTCTCTACCTTACTTTCTTGAGGCAGGGTCTCTCACTGAACTGGGTGGGAGCTTTGCTGACGTCTAGTGAGCCCCAGCAGTCCTGTTTGCATCCCACACAGCACTGGGTTGCCAGGGTACATAAGACCACACTCAAGCTTTGACAAGGGTGCTAGGATTTGAACTTGGGTCTTCATGCTTTCATAGCAAGCATGCTTACCCACTGAGCCGTCTCCCCATGCCACGGCTGTAGTTTTTGTGTATCCTGAAAAGTGGTTGGGTATATTGAAAGCGTGTCCCCTTCTCTTTCCTTTTCTCGAAGGAGTTTGTCTTCGGCACTCTTACGGAATGGCTGCGCTTCTACAACAAGTGGCTGTACTGCGGCCTGTGGATTGTGAACGGCCTGCTGCAGTCCACTGGCTGGCCCTGTGTGGTGGCTGTGATGGGCAACTGGTTCGGGAAAGCTGGGTATGCTGCGTCCTTCTCTGGTCAGACTCTGCTAACTCGGGGCTGTAGAGCACGCCTCATCCTCTCTGTTTTGGAGAGAGAAGGTCCATGAGCGTGACGGTCCGTAGACACCCAGGGAGGCACATTCCTGTGGCTGCATCTCCCAGTTCTTTCTTCTTAGCCTCTCTCCCTAGAAAACTGTCACTGTTCCACCCGAATGCCATCCATTGTGCGTGTTGGTTTGAGTTTAGCTCCCCTTGCCACATTTTGAGACTGTGGTTTCCTTATCATTGCATTAACTATAAGGAAACAGCCATGAAAGTCAGGGACATAGCCCAGTTATAGAGCATTGTGTAGCCTATAGAAGATGCTGAGTGCAGAAGAAAAGGTATCTGTGTGATGGGCCTAAGGCCACCGAAAGGGGGAGTGCTCTAATTCAAATGTTGCCGTGATTTGGGGCTTACAGCATCCCCTACCCCTCCCTTCATGTTAGAGTATGTTTGTTGGACTTGGTATGTGTGGTGCAGACTGCAGAAGGAAGGGAGGTGCCTGCTGATGAATCCTCCATGTCTACCCAAAGAAGGCATGCTGAGTGCATAGGAGGGAAATAGGTCAAGTGAAGCAGACTTGCTGTGTGGTTTACCATTGTTGATGAGGCTCCTGTTTCAGAAGCATTAATGACTTGGAGTTTAGTCATTGTCCCTGGACAGTGTGTATGTGTTTTCATGGCATGCTCACCTCCTGTCTGCTTTCTTTGCGTGTTTGCTCTTACACTTAGGAAACCGAATACGCAGTGCCTTCCACTGTGGTGTGCAGCATACCCTCTTGCTGGTGCTTCTCAGCTGCCACCTTCCCCAGTTTCGTAACGGGAGCTCCCTTGGTCATTAACATTTACCTATAAACTGTCCCGTGAGGATAAGTACCGTTCAAAAGCACTCTGGTATTTCAGTGCCTAATGCCTTCCGTTTCGCTCTGACTTTAGGTTAGCAAGATTGCATTGGAAAGATGTTTACTTTTTATATTTTGGGTTTTTATTTGTTTGTTTTCAAAAATAGATGAAGCCAGGCAGTGGTGGTGCACGCCTTTCATCCCAGCACTCAGGAGGCAGAGGCAGGTAGATCTCTGTGAGTTCGAGGTCAACCTGATCTACAGAGTGAGTTCCAAGATAGGCTCCAAAGCTATAGAGAAGCCCTGTCTCAAAAAAACAAAGAAGAAAGAAAGAAAGAAAGAAAGATGAATAAAAAGAATTTTTGGTGGAGTTAGAGATTGCACAGGACTTCATGAATACTAGGCAAGTACTCTACTATAGAGTGTTATTCTCCAGCCCATTTGTCTCTTTATTTTTTCGAGCTAGAGTCTCACTAGTTGCCCTGACTAGTACAGACCAAGCTGGCTCAGACTCAGAGATCCATCTGCTCTGCCTCCCATGTGTGTGCTCCCACACTCGGCTTAAAATTTCTGGTCTCTGTGTAACCCCGACCGACCTCAAGCTCGCAGAGATCTACCTCCCTGCCTCCCGAGCGCTGTGATTACAGGCGTGCGCCACCGTGCCTGGCAGGAAGGCTTCGTGCTTTCCGGACCACAGTGTGTGATGTTACTGATAGAAGGAAGCTAACTTGGTTGGCAGGGGCCTTGGACTGTGTAATGAACTCTAACCGCTCAAGTTGCAGCCCAGCGTGGAAGTCTTTCAAGAATGTAATGCAAGAAGAGGAAAGATGATAAAAGTATGAGCCCTGAGTGAAAAGTGGGGGTGTTGCCTTGGCAGCCCCGCTGCCCATGGTCCATCATGGGTGTGGAGGGGCTTCTGAAGGGGCGGAGTCTTACTGTAGAACCTAGGCTGGTTTTGAACTTGTAATCCTCTTGCTCTGGCCTCTCAGGTGCCTGGCAGACTGGTGTTGAAGCTGCTGTGGCGAGAGGAGCCAGGCGAGTGTTGCTTTAGACTCTGACTCCTTGGAAACCTTAGCAGGAATCCATGGCGTCCACTCATCTAGGAGAACTGAAAAGAATCAGTTTCCATAGGCCAGATTCTTCTCGTACGCCGAGGTCCTGGCTTGCTTACTTTCCCCTTCCAGGACCCCTTGATGGGTTTTAGTGTTTTTATAGTATTGGAGCTTTTCATCTTTTTTTGTTTGTTCTTGAGGCAGTGTCTTGCCGTGTGACATGGGTGCCTGGAACCTGCTGCCTTCCAAATGCAGAAGGGTTAGAAGCGTAAGCCACCATCCCTGGCTTCTTTTCTTTAGTTCTTTCTGCACAAGGAATTCAAGATTTCTCTATTGCTCTGCAAGTGCTCCGACTCTGAGGTCAACATTTAGCATCTAAATGAAAATCTAGCATCATGAAATCTCAGAAGAATCTGGTTTTATCATTCTGGCATATTTTTCAAAGGTTTAAATAGAATGTTAATTCTTCGTAATGTACATCTTTACTGTTTGAGCCGTTTTTATTTTGACACACACACAGAATCCCTCTGACACATTGCCTTTGGTCTTTCTTTGTTCTCCTTAGCCGAGGCGTTGTCTTTGGTCTCTGGAGTGCCTGTGCTTCAGTGGGCAATATTTTGGGAGCGTGCCTGGCTTCATCTGTTCTGCAGTATGGTTATGAGGTGGGTATTTTTTCACCATTGTGTGTGTACACTTGCTCTTGCTATTTAAGCCAGGGTGACCTCTCCTGAGGGCTGTGATTATAGGCGTGCACCACCACGCCTGGCAAGAAGGGGCCACAGTGTGTGCTGTTATTGAGAAGGAAGCTGACTTGGTTTGCAGGGGCCTTGGGTTGTGTGGTGAACACTAACGCTCAGGGGTCAATCATGGGTGTGGAGGGGCCTCTGAGGGGACCTTCTGTCTCCAGGGTACACAGCCAACAAAGTCCATCCAGATGGGAGGTAGTCTTTTGGGTGGGCATGTTCAGTCTGCTGAACATTTGGCAGAGTCTGAGTGGGGTGGAGTAGTGAATCCCCAGTTGGCTCAAATCAAAGTAAGCCTGTGCTTGTAGAAAGAGGAGTAAAGACAGATCCCGTTCTCTGACCTCTGAGTCAGATGCTCCTTTGGGAGCATTGTCATCAGATGCTGCCAGCTGTTTGGACTGTTTTAACTGCTTTGAGTTCCTGAGGAATCATGGTCAAGAAGCCCTAGACATCCATCCCAGATAGGCCTAGGAGCCAGAGTGATGCTCGAGGTAAAACCCCTGGAAAATGGTCCCTATAGCCACAGAGCAAGAGGCTGAGTGTGCTGGCTGTTACAGTTCTGGGTGTGTGGAGAGCTGGGCAGTCCGTGCTCTGCCTGCAAAGTGTGTACGTGTGAATGAGGAATAAGAAGGATGTAGATTGTCTGAAAGTCATAAAAGTACATTTTGAGGTTTTTTTTAACCAGTTAATTTTTATTAAAAAACAAGTAAAAGAATAAGGGAACAACAGAAAGACTATACTGTGTGTTTACTAGCCTGGTAAAATGCAGGCCGGTGACCTGTGGTGCTCTTGAGGTTGTGAAGCAATGGACATGGCAGTTGTTGGCAATGTCTGTCAGATTACAGCTGCTCTGACCAAGCTGTTCCACCTCCGGGAAGTAGCGGCACCAGCGAATGTGCTTACTCGCGTACAGTCAGTGTTATCTGCAGTTATCTCAGAACAGTTTGTAATAGCAAAGACTGATGTTAAAAGCCAGCCGATAGAGAGGTAGTTAAGCTCCGGCGAACCTGTTGGAGGATGCGGTGTAGCTGCGACTCCAGACCAGGAGCTCTGAACTGAAGGAGATCCAGACACTGGGAAGATCTCAGACAACAAGCAGGCCAGGCAGTGTGCCCTGAGATGCCAGTTTGGAGAAAGGCAGGCTGGATTGCTTGAATTAGCTTGTATGTTTCCCAGTGGTCCCTGCAGAACAAAAATTACGCAGCAGTGCTTATATGTTTGGATAATTGAGAGCTGGATGGGTTGGGAAGGGATCGGGCAGAAAGGATTTACTCCACCTCTTAGTGCTTATTTTCTTGAATGGATTGCCCGGTTAGAAACCTAAGTGATTAAAAGGAAGTTGCTCTCTGAGAGAGAGCTGTTCTGGTCCAGGTAGAAGCCCATCACCTATCACAGTCACCTTTTTTCCGTGGACGTTTTCCCATCGCTCACACGTGGCTTGTACCGATTGTTCAAGTGTGAATTTCACTCACCCTGTGCTGCTCCTGAATCTGGCTTCTGGAAACGTGACTTTGATTTTGGCGTTTCTTGTTTAAAAATTCTGCCTCATTGTCTGTATCGATAAGGCAGCTCATACAGCCTGGCCACTGAGTCTTTCAGGTTCCCCTCCACCTCCCGTGGCAGTTTTCTTCCCGTGGTCCCAGACAGAAGCCCTCCCCTAAGGCACGCGGGGAGCGCCCATCCCATCCCCAGGCTGCCAGCGCCTCTGCTGCTGTGCCCAGGAGGATAATTTCCCACCATGCCCTTCAACGTCATCGAGCTGCATCAGCCTCCTTTCAGCTCTTCTTCCTTTTGAATCCTGTAGGTTTCTGCTAGGGCTAGGTCTCATTTATTTAGCTGCATGCTACCTGTTCAGACTGTAGGGTATTGCTTAATCCCCTCAGCTGGGTGACATGTCTTCAAGGGCAGATACTGTGTCTCTGTAGGAGTTTGAATGACAAAAAAAAAATGAGATTTTCAGGGGCTAATCCTGACTTTTCAATCGTAATAGTGCCACTTGGTATCCAGGGGACCCTGATGATCCTCTGTCAGCCTCTCCATGTCCTTGGGAAAATGCAGTGGGGACTCACAGGTCAGGACACTTGGCGCAGTGCCTAGCCAGGAAGCCCTGGGTCTTGAAGTCCTCCCAACCTCCCCTCGTGTGTCTGTAATGAACACAGCTATGATGACCACCTCTGAGTAAGATTCACCTCAGCTGTCTTTCCTCTCCTCCAGTACGCCTTTCTGGTGACCGCGTCTGTGCAGTTTGCTGGCGGGATTGTCATCTTCTTTGGGCTACTAGTGTCACCAGAAGAAATTGGTGAGGAGAAGCCATCTCTGTCATTCAAAATACCTTACTGTTGTAAGCCAAGGAGGTCCAAGGACAGGAACTGGGATTCTCGGAGGAAAGCTGCACACTCCTCTCAGGGCACTTAGGAGCAGTTTTGCCCTGTGCATCCTGTCCAGTTACAGCCAGTCTGTTACCACTGCATGTGTTTGAGGGGAGTGAGGCTCACATTTGAGTGCAGGAAGGTCCGAACATTTGTAGACGGTTTGTGTAATTGAGATACTGGCTAAGAATGTCACATCTTGAGACTAGATTCTTTTCCTTTAGAAAGATGATTCAGTTTGATGTTTTTTGTTTTTTGAGACAGGGTTTCTCTGTGTAACTGCCCTAACTGTCCTGGAACTAGCTCTGTAGACCAGGCTGGTCTCGAACTAACAGAGATCCGCCTGCCTCTACCTCTCGAGTGCTGGTATTAAAGGCATGCGCCACCACTGCCCAGCCAGTTTGATATTTTTTTATGGTTAAATATGGAGTGTGTACAAGTGAAGCCATAGGAACAGGGGTGTGCAGCTCTTCTGATCTTTGAGCCAACAGACTCTGGAGCCTTTATTGGTTTTAATTTCCTTGGTGTCTGAACCCTAGTTAGGTCTTCAACATGAGGAAAATAAGAACAGCCTCAGCCCCCAAGTGGTGATGAGTGCAAAGCCTCACATGTGGGCAGGCACATGGTGGTGCTCTGTAAATGGCCGCTGTTTTTGCTGTCCTAGGTCTTCCAAGTATTGAAGCGGAAGAAAACCCTGAAGAAGATTCACACAGGCCTCTCATTAACGGTGCTGAAAATGAAGACGAGTACGAGCCCAATTATTCAATCCAAGAGGATGGGGCTGTCACCCAAGTGACGGCGATAAGCTTTCACCAGGCTTGCTGCCTTCCTGGAGTCATACCGGTACGGGCTCTCCTGGCTTCTCCCTGGCCAGGGGTCGGGCTGATATGTTTTGTTTTGAGATGATCGTGTTGCATCCCTTAGCTTCCCCGATAGCCTTGAAAACCCAGAGACTAAATATTTGCAGCTTGGGGGAACTGAGAAATCTTAGTGTGGTCACTCGGCTCTGTAGCACATAGAAGCTGCAGACAGACATGGCCAGATGTAGCCCACAAATCGCTGCCCTGACCTAGCTTGTAAACTACTGAGGCAAAAATAACAAGGTTTTAAATATGTGTTTTGAGCCTGTGGCATCTACACGGACCTAGAGGGGTTCTGAATGGTTCACTCTCTGCCTTGTTTGTGACTTCTGGACATTCCAGGGAGCAGGCTGTTGCCCTGTCCAGGGCAGAATACTCAGTATTTCCTGGTAACACATTCCAGTGTTTCCACAACCTTTGCAGGAAAACCTCTGTGTGAGCTAGACCCCTTCTGCTGCAGTCTGTCTGTCTTGATGTTTTGGGTGCCCTACCCTTGGAGTACAAGTTAAGAGGCCTAGGTTGTATTTCCATCTTGCCCGCTAACTTCCTGTGAGACCTGGTTAAGTCACTCAGTTCCCCTTCCTGTGGGGGGTGATGACACCCATCTTGCCTGGGTCAGTTGACAAAGCACCTGTTTTTGTCACCTTGCTTTCAGGATGCTTAGGCATTGTCCCCTCCCCCACTTGAGTCTGTCTGTAGGCCATCCTCTGCCTCTGCCTTCCTCTCGGCTCTCTTCTGCCTCGTGGCTCTCTACTAAAAACAAAACAAAACAAAACAAAAAAACTCTTCCAGCAGGTAGTCAAGTGTCAGTCAGATATAAGTGTAATACCCTAACACCCTGAAATGCTTGACTCCAGGGACAGTGGCTAGCGTTAGGAAGACTCCGGTTCTTGTGGCCTGTCCTTAGGAAGATCCTGTCTTTCAGTTATTAAAACATTTTGATGGTGTTTGCTTGGGTTGAGACAGAACTTGGGTTTGCTGTGACAAAACAAGAAGCTCCTTTGCTGGTTCCTTTGTACTTCCTAAGCCATTGTTCTCCAGCTCGGGCGGGGTGGAAAGGAAGTCTGGTTAACCCGGGCCTTTGTCTTTGTAGCAGCCTGTGGGAGCTCTGCTGCTTGGGATTTGGCTCTCTACGGGTGGCTGCTGCCCTGCTAGAAGCTCTTTTAGAACAAGTGGCACCTGGGGAATAGCTGGCTGGCGCTCAGGGGCAGGAGTGTACTAGCCAGACACCCTTTGAAGTCAGCCCTCTGCCTCCGCCTTCCCTTTGATGCTAATAGTCAGGGTTTCCTGGTAATAATGTGTTGGACGCAGGAGTCTCAGCCATCACCCATTTAAGGTCGCTCTCCTTCAAAAGAGAGCCAGGAGGCCAGTCAAGACCACATCCCTTCCTCTCTGGCCCACCAAAGATGCTTTCCTTTGTGGGATGTAGGGCTTTTGGGGAGCTCTAATATGAAAATGGTCCTCAGGTGGCTCTCTTTCTGAGTGTGACTGGGCTGCTTTGCTCTCCGTAGTGGCCAGCATTAACTGTGTAGGAAGAGAACCAAGGAAGTCTGGCTGCCTGCAGTGTGAGCTGAGATCTTAGCTAGGCTGATCCGTCCGTGGCTGATGCGGGTTGGCAGCGCGGATACCATGGACCTTTTGTCTGAATAAAGAAACATGGGTACAGTGTGTACTGCTCTCTGGGTTGCAAACGCTGGCTTGCCTTTACCAGAGGAACGATAGGAGAAGACACTGGAGATAGCTAAGAAAAAGCTGTGTGCGTTTTTTGTTGTTGGTTTTTTTTTTTTTTTAGAAGCCAATGAGAGTCAAGAGAAGAGAACGGGCTGCCAGGTAAAGCCAGGGAAGTCACGCTGTGCCGTTTGCTGCTCATTGATAGCTGTGTTTTCCTTGCAGTACTCACTGGCCTATGCCTGCCTGAAACTGGTGAATTACTCCTTCTTCTTCTGGCTGCCCTTTTATCTGAGCAACAACTTTGGGTGGAAGGAAGCCGAAGCTGACAAGCTGTCCATTTGGTACGACGTCGGAGGCATTGTAGGTACGCACATGGGCATCTCCTTCCGCACAGGCAGGAACCTTGCTTCATTTGAAGTTTTACTGCTTGCTCCACAGCCGTCTCTCCCAACCCACCCGACCAGTAAACATGCAGACTTGTGTGAGAACAAAAAGTCCATAGAGAGGAGAAGCAGCCCGAGACGGCTGTGATTCATAGGCTGTCTTTTCTTAGTCTTTGGTTGATGGATCAGTCCTTTTGTCTTGGGACCGCTCGGGAATCCCTTTAAATGCAGCCCCTTTGTACGCTTTCAGGGGTGGCTTGGCTTTGAAGCTGATTTTTGTGAGAGCTTCAAGGTGAAGTGGGAATATGTTGGCTTCGGCTTCCTCCCACTGTCCCCCTGTCTCTGGCCAAGGAAGCAAACACAGCACCTTTCAGGGTAGATTGTCAGATATCAGAGGGAGGAAGAGCAGGGATTTTCCTTTCCTTTCTTGTGTATGTCTGTGTTCGCAATTGCCTTGCTGTATATGGAGGATTTGTTTTATTTTCCAGGCTGGGGATTGAACCCTGGACTTTGTACATGCTAGCAAATAAATAACCCTAGTTCCGCAACAGATTTTACAAGTGTCTTTGTGGTGTAGGCAGAAATGCAAAAAGGAAATAATAAACTGTTAAATAAGGCCAACGATTGCACACTGGGGCCCTACCTTAACATCTCTGTCTCCGTGATGTTTACATACAGAGATACAGTAAGACCAAGCTACCCTGAGCGCATGAATGGCACAGTAGGCCCTTAGGTGGCACACTGGCCTCATATCTGAATTCGGCCACTGGTAGCCTTAGGTCCAGAGCCAAAGGTGATATAGATAGCCCGAGACCTGCCATATTCTGTGTCCTCCAAAATTAAAGGTACCTCAGTGTAGAAGGAAAGCTGCAGCTCAGAGGTTCTGTTGACAGCTTGTGAGGCGTCTTCCTTAAACTTGGTGTTGTTGAGGCCAAGCCCACACCAGGCAGCCCGAGCTGCTTTCTGGTTTATGGTCTTCCTGCTCCAGCCTCCTGGGTGCTGGCAGTAAGGTTTACTTGGTTAGTTCATCATGCTTTAAGTTAGAGTGAAGAAAATCCGGGGATCGCTCACTTATTATTTGGTGGGGAAAATAGTATATATGGATAATAATGGTTCTGAAGGGTTTCTTTTTTCTTACTTTGATGCTTGATTTGTGGTGTCCTGTCCATGGGCCATCACTGCGGGGAGGGGACACTTGAGAGAGGAGCGTGCCTCAGAGAGCCGTGCCCAGCCGCTGCTCTCCACCCATGTGTGCTCTTTGTGCCTGAAGGTGGGACTCTGCAAGGCTTCATCTCCGACGTGCTGCAGAAGAGAGCGCCTGTGCTAGCCCTCAGCCTGTTCCTGGCGGTGGGCTCCCTTGTTGGGTATAGTCGTGAGTATCCCTTTGCAGTGGCCTTGATTCACTTGCTCAGAGTCAGTGGTCAGCCATGGGGAGAGCTGTGCCTGGGAACTGTCATCACATGGTTTTATTTGTGTGGGAAGGAAACTGGCATCTCTCCTGCTTTGTGGGTCTGTTTAAAAGCTTGCTTGGGAGTGTATTGCTTTGTTTGCGGGCGGCTCCAGAGGGACAGCATTAGAGCCAATAAAACCATAAAAGGGGGCAAGGTTTCAAAAGCAGGGAAGATGGTAATTAGTAGGCCGTGTGTGTGTGTGTGTGTGTGTGTGTGTGTGTGTGTGTGTGTGTGGTGTGTGTGCACACGCGCGTGCGTGTTCTAAAGACGGTAGAGTCTTCTCTGGCTTTTAGACATCTCATTAGCTTGAGCAGTAGCCAGAGGCAGACAGGACAAAAGCTGGAAGGGGTGGTGAGAGTCGGCTGTCTTTGTTGTCTCCAGAGGGATTGCAAGGTGTCAGGGATGCAGCCGCTGTGCACTGAAGGAGGCACATGCCGCTGCTGTGCCTGCACAAGTCACCGTGCCGTGTGTCTCTTCTCTCACAGGCTCTCCAAACAATAAGTCCATCAATGCACTTCTGATGACCATCACAGGTACGGCCGACACTCTGCTCACTGCTCCTCTCGGGGTCAGAGAGCGCTGTCTCCCACAGAGGGACTTATACTAAAACCTCTGCTCTATAGCACGCAAGTGAGAGGGAGATTGATGCCTCCTTTGCTAGCTTCTCCCCTCTGCTTGTGACTGACCCCCTCAACCCCTGTGATAGAAACTGTCCCCGTGGAGGGGTCCTAAACATTTAGATTGCCGCCCCAGGCCTGGATTTGACTTCAGAAAGTGACTTAGGAAGGTAGCACATTGGAAGTCCAGGACAGCTAGCTTTTTCTCTGGTGCTGAACTGGGTTGGTATTTCCCTGAGCGCTAGGTAAAATTCTGGGTACAATTAAGGAACATGTGTTATATATATATATATATATATATATATATATATATATATATGTTACTTTTTAATTCAGCATGATGTGTGACTGATTCCAGTAAGATGACCCAGTTTACAAGCTCCACGCCACACCCGCACGTGGGTTGGCTTTCTTTCTTTTTTTTTATATTTATTTATTATGTATACAATATTCTGTTTGTGTGTCTGCCTGCAGGCCAGAAGAAGGCATCAGATCTCATTTCAGATGGTTGTGAGCCACCATGTGGTTGCTGGGAATTGAACTCAGGACCTTTGGAAGAGCAGGCAATGCTCTTAACCTCTGAGCCATCTCTCCAGCCCCCGTGGGTTGGCTTTCTGAGCGCAGTGGCAGTTAGGGTCCCTGAACCTCTGGAACAGCACTGTTTGTCCCTCTCTTGCCAGTGTGGTGTTGCCTTGGGTGTGTGTTCCGCTACTTTGTTCTTACCCGTGGATGCTGTACAGACACTAGTGTGTCACACCCTTCGGGAAGGGATTTTAGAAGAGTAGACATCAGTTAGTGTGAGAATACTGTCTGGGAGCATTTCCTTTATTTTCTGTTTCTCCCCAACATTTTGATGTTTTGTCTTATCTGACTAGAATTATGGATCGTATTTTAACCCAAATCTGTTCTCGTTATGGCTTCAGGGTTTTTTATTGGCGGACCGTCCAATATGATTAGCTCGGCTATTTCTGCAGACCTGGGTCGCCAGGAACTGATCCAAGGGAGCAGCGAGGCTCTGGCGACCGTCACGGGAATCGTCGACGGAACTGGGAGCATTGGTGCTGCTGTGGGCCAGGTGAGAACAGCGTGTGCTTGCCGGCTCCCACGGTAGGTGGCGCTCTTGTGCTGCGAGCCGCTGTACAGCAAGCCCTAGGCTTTCAGCCTCTGAGAGGTGGGACCTGATATGGGAGGCATCTCATATGACCATAGATTGCGTCACGGCCACCTCGGAGTGTAGTCTGTGTTCTCCATGCCCAGACATCTGTGACTGGTCCCAGAGGGTGACTTAGGTATCCCTATCCTGTAATCATCTGGGATGCAGAACACTGGAAGTCTGTGGACCTGCTGAGATGGAACCTGTTGATCCGTGGATTCCCCTGTGGATGCCGAGAGGCTAAGACGGTCCTACTGTAGTAGTCATAGCGACTTGAAGTTTGCTGGTTTGCCTGACTAGTGGGTGAATTGCTGCTAGCTGATGCAGTGAGGAACAGTGGACTATCCTGATGGTACACAGCCATGGAGTGGATGTATATCAGTATCTGCTCGCTGCAGTAATGCAGGCTCCCTGAGGGCAGCATCATGGTTTGGTTCCCCTGTAGCCTTTCCTGGCACACAGGAGACACGCTGCTTCCAAAGCACTGCACAGTAAACGGTTGACACACTTAGGATATTTGAGTGTATGATCAGGGGGAAAAATTAACAAGGGCAGGAGAAATACTTCTTCATGCTCTGTGATAGAAATCAAACAGGGCCACTGTCACCCATTCAGAAGGCTTCATGTCTGAAGGGACAGTGAATAAGCATTTTATTTTATACACCTACATATTTACATGTTTGTAAGTCTGTATGTGGAGGCGTGTAGATGGAAGTTTCTGTCCTGCTCAATTCTGCAGCCATTTAGTCCCAAATAAGCACACAGAGGCCTATATTAATTATAAACTGTTTGGCCTATTGCTCAGGCTTATTACTGACTACCTCTTACAACTTAATCCATAGTTCTTGTCTATGTTTAGCCATATGGCTTGGTACCTTTTCTCAGGAAGGCATTCTCATCTTGTTTCCTCTGCTTCTGGATGACGACTGCATCTCTGCCTTTCCTCTTCCAAGAATTCTTCTAGTCTGGCTGCCTCACCTATACTTCCTGCCTGGCCAACCAGTGTTTTATTAAACCAATATGAGTGACAAATCTTTACAGTGTATAAGAATGTTACCCCATAGGGGGCTGGAGAGATGGCTCAGTGGTTAAGAGCATTGCCTGCTCTTCCAAAGGTCATGAGTTCAATTCCCAGCAACCACATGGTGGCTCACAACCATCTGTAATGAGATTTAGTGCCCTCTTCTGGCCTGCGGACACACACAGACAGAATATTGTATACATAATAAATAAATAAATATTTTTTTTTTTAAAAAAAGAATGTTACCCCATAGCAGGTGTGTGCATGCTGTGTGGCATATGTGTGGGTTATGGAGCTTGAACTCAGGTGACAAGGGTCTTTACCCTCTGAGGCATCTTTCTGGTCCCATCACATTGAGTATTGTATTTTATTCATTCTTTCATTCATTTTTTTTTTTTTTTTTTGAGAGAAGGTTTCTCTGTAGCTTTAGAGCCTGTCCTGGAACTCACTCTGTAGATTGATCAGGCTGGCCTCAAGCTCATGGAGATCCACCTGTCTCTGCCTCTTTTTTTTTTTTTATTTTTTTTTTATTTTTTTGGTTTTTCGAGACAGGGTTTCTCTGTGGTTTTTGGAGCCTGTCCTGGACTAGCTCTTGTAGACCAGGCTGGTCTCGAACTCACAGAGATCCACCTGCCTCTGCCTCCCGAGTGCTGGGATTAAAGGCGTGCGCCACCACCGCCCGGCTCTGTCTCTGCTTCTTGAGTGCTGGGATTAAAGGTGTGGGCCACCACTGCCCAACTAAACTGAGTATTTTAAATTGTTTCTCACTAATGCTCTCTTAGTGAATTAGGTGGGTAGTTGTAATTGACATTACAGACATTTTGCTTTGAATTTTCTTTCTTCCTTTTTGAGGATAGTTTCTCCTGTAGCTCAGGTGACCTTGAGTTTGCTGTATAGACTGTCATCACCTTGAGTTTCTGATCCACCTCTCAAGGACTGGGATAATAGACCCATGCTCCCACGCCTGACTTCTTGGAGTTTTATCCCTATAAGTCTCACACGTCAGTGTTCCGATCCTGATGGTGATCACGTCACCCTCAGACTGACCCCCATAATCAGGCCAGGATTCAGGGTCCTTAGCTTTCCTGGTGTTCCTGTCTGTTCTGGAACCCAGAGATTCGCCTGCCTCTGCCTCCGAGTGCCAGTGTTAAAGGTGTGGGCCACCATGCCTGGCCTCTTGGGGATTGTTGAATGACTTGCCATTGCCTCACCAACTCTGAAGGCTAAAACTCCACAGCCTGGCCCTCAGCTATTCCCTGGGCTGCGCCAAGTGATGGTGTTGCCTCTACCTTCCCCTGACTTTTCAAGGATTTGTTATTTTTCTGTTCTGGTTTCCATAGCAGCTGGCTCATACCTCCAGGAGAACACTCATTATCCATGATGTTCAACTGCCAGCCTGGGTGTCTGTGCTCTCTCTGTACCAGAGTCTGCATTCCTTGAAAACCAGCTTGTTCCAAGCTGAGCACGATGGTGCACACCTGTGATCCCAGCCTCAGAAGCAGCGGGATTGCTTTAATGTCAACCTGGGCTGTGTAGTGACAACCAGGTCATCAAGGCATGGCAGCATCCTGTCTCTATAAAACTAAAATTAAAAGTGAACTGTTTCATCCACCTTTGTATTTCTAAAACTTAGTATGTTGTTTATGTGTGTATGTGTGTATGCATGCCTGTGCTGTGTCACACATGTGGAGGTCGGAGGACAGGAAGTTGATTCCTTGCTTCTGGGATTGGGTTCTGGAGGGAAAACTCAGGGTGCAAGTGTCCTTACCCACTAGGCTATTTCACCAGCTTCCTTAGTGCATTCTGGACACACATTTGGGGGTATGACCCAGCTGCACTGTCTACTAAGGAGAAATGAGAATAAATGTGTACACTGAAAGTTAAACATTTTAGGCACCGAATGTAGAGACAGCACAAATGTCCAGCAGCAGATACATGCATAGATGGGATGCGACAGTAGCCATGCACTGGAGTGTTGTCCCCCAGTCCTGACCACATGTGCAGTGGTGCGTGTTCATGCGCATGCAGACATGCAATGAGTATGTTTTTTTTTTAACAATTGAAAGAAAAATAAATCTTTTTTTTTTTTTTTTTTTTTGAGGTTAGTTACAGTTACTGTTTGGAAGCTCTGATGGGGTGGGACTTGTACCTTTGTGGGTTGGCGAGTTTGCTCTCCAGGCTGGCCAGGAACTCAGTCTTCCTGCCCCATTTGCTCGGGGGCTGCTTCCAGGTGCGCCACTGCACCCAGCTGGACTTGAGCCTTTTCTCTTTATCAGGACCTAGGCTATGTCGCTCAATCACCCTGCTTTAGCTTTTCCCAGCACATAGTTCAGTAATACTGTGGTTAGTGTGGGTTACATCATCTGTGTGGTCAGGTGATTTTCAACACTAGTGTCAAGATGTTCAGCAAGGGAAAGTGGGTTCTTCAGCAGTGGTATGGGACAAACTAGATATCCACGTGAAAGGGGTGTAATTGAATCTTGTTTTATACTCTGCAACAGTGAATTCAAAGTGGATCAAAGATCTTACTCTAAAAGCTAAAATTTTGAAATTCTTAGAAGAAAACCTAGGAGCCAATTTTGATGAAAAATCCATAAAAATGGCGACTATAACACACAGGCAGAGTCTCAATAGCCTTAGTAGGGAAATACAAACCAGAACCACACTGAGGCCTTGCTTCATTCCTAGTGAAGATGGCTGTAATTAAGAAGCAGGAAATAGGACCAGCCTGGTCTACAAGAGCTAGTTCCAGGACAGTCACCAAAGCTACAAATACTGTCTCCAAAAACAAAAATAATGTGGTATGTACATTCAGTGTAATTCTGTTCATCCGTGAAAAAGAATGAAATGCTGATGTGTGTTACTATATGATTGAACCTTGAAAATTTGCTAAGTGAGTGACTAATCATACAGGAAAAAAAAACCAAATTATTTCCATGAAATATCTACAGTAGGTAAATTCACAGCTTCAGAAAGTAAACAGAAGTTATTAAGGCAGGTATGGTGGTCCATGCATGCAATCTCAGCACTTGGAAAACAGACAAGAGGATTGCTACAAATTCAAGGCTGTCCTAGACTATATAGTGCTATCAAGACCAGCCTAGGCTATAGAGTGGCTTTGGGGAGAAGAAAACAACAAACTAGAACCTGCCAGTGGCCGGGTGTGGGTGCTGTGGTTTACAAAGCTCTTGTTCTAGGTGAAGATTTGGGAAGTAAATGCTGTTGTGGTTGCACATCATCGGTACTGTGATTGATGCTGCTGACCTCTGTGTTTAAAAATGGTTACCACTGGGGACTGGAGAGATGGCCCAGGGTGAAGGATACCTGCTGTACAGTCAAGAGGACCCATTAGGATCCCAGCCTTGAGGTAATCCCAACTTTGAGAGAGAGCCATCAACAGGAGGATTGCTGGGACTTGGTGGCTTCCAGCCCAGCTGAGAAAACATGATCCCTACAGCCAGGGAAACCTCAGAGGAATAGACAGTGTGAGGGAGGACACCCAATGCCTTTTTCAGCTTTTACCCTTGGGCATAAGCTCACGCACCTGCACATATATGCACACATACATACACACACGCTTTAAAAAAATATAAAATGGCAAATTTTATGTTAGTTATTCCTGTAGTAAGAAGGTGGGGGGAAGCCGGGTTAAGTGCTCTTAACCTCTTTTCAGTAGTTGAAAGTAAAGAGAAAAGCCAGGTGTGGTGGCATGATACCTTTAATCTCAGCACCTGGGAGGAGAGGCAGGTGGATCTGTTTGAGTTCGAGGACAGCCTGGTCTACAGGGTGAGGACAGCCAGGTTACACAAAGAAACCCTTTTTCAAGAAACCAAAAATAAAAAAAAAAAATCTCAAACAAACAAAAAAGAAAATAGTTCCATTGTGGAACAGATTATGTGGCTGCCCTCACTGGGGTCAGCTTCCGGCTGCTCGGGCCTACACAGTAAGGCTGTGTGCCTCAAAAATACTTAAAAGGGGAACAGCATAGGGCGACAGCTTGCTCTGAAAGCATCAGCTCTAGGGCCTGGGAGATGAGGAGGGAGCTGGAGGCACAGCAGATACTGTTCTTCCTCCTGGAGCAAGGGGAGCAGAGCAAACCTAGGAGTATAGCTTCTGCGGTTTTGCGTAGAATGAGCCAGTAATAAAATGCAAATGGAGCCAGGGTGGTGGACCATGGACCAAGCCTGTAGCCCTTACCAGCATTCAGACTGGCAGCGTGTTGTGGTGAGACCCTGTCTCACTATGGGAGTATATATGTGGAAGATCTTTGTAACGACAGATGTTACTGAACCCCCAGCTCCTGATTTTCCAGAGTAGTCCTGACTAATCTCCTTTTAAACTACGTTGTCTCGTTTATATTCTTTGTGTATTATCGGGGGTCAGCCTTGGCAAAAATACCCTTTCCATAGTGGAGGTGTGGGAATTTAGAAATATAGTAAAGAATATGAAGACGCGAACAAAAATAATAAAACGCAGGAACATATACGATAGTATAGGGAGGGAATTTCTCAGTGAGTACTGAAAATTCTCCTGCCCGTGTTTAATTTCCTACTGGTTAATATACCCCTGACCTCAAAAGGTAAAAGGAAAAGAAAAGACAACATTAACAGACAAGTTGAAGGTCACGGCTACTTTCACCTACTTTCCCCAGACTCACGCCCTACACCAAACACTCTAGGCAAACCACTCCCAGGGTGGAATGTCAAGTTATTTCCTGGAACTTAGTGGGATCCTTAGACTTTGGTTTTAGGTAGCCAACTACTTCCCTATTCCAGGAGCAGGAGGTCTGGCGACTAGCCACACCTGTTGAGGAAGAAAATCTCGGGAGAGCAGAACTCTGATTTACAACTAGGTGGGGCCTTTGTTAGAAGCACAATAACCTTGAATGAACTAGAAACAAGTCCCTGACTCTTTGGCCTCTCTGGCCTCCACAGAGTTTGAGTGCTTTGCACCTTGTGACGTCTGCAGCCTGCACAGGTCAGAAGAGGGCGTGGGTTCCCTGAGCTGGAGTGACAGGTGGTTGTGATTGAGAGCAGCTAGGGCTTTTAAGCACTGGACAGTCTGTCTCTGCAAGCCTGACCTCCGTTCTCTTAAGGAAGAGTCTCAGTAGCCCAGGCTGGTCTCAAAGCAGTTGGTGGTAGAGGATGACCTTGAATTTTTGGACCCCCTTCCAGGACTGGATCACAGGCTTGCACGGCCAGGTTCAGTTCTGTGTTTAAGTGGCTGTGTGAATGCTGGCTAAACATCTTACCAATAGAGCCTTGTCCCCATCCCTCACTTTGTTAATTTATACAGCGTTAGATCATATTTTCCTTTTCTTCTTTTTAGTATCTGGTGTCTCTGATCCAGGACAACCTTGGATGGATGTGGGTTTTCTACTTTTTCATTCTCATGGTAAGCGTGTGCTTTTTTTTTTCTTTAACCATTTTTCCTATTTAACTTAAAACATTTGACTTCATCACTACTTGAAACCAACAAAATTGCCGATTGCTTGTAAAGACGTTAGTGTGAAAAGTAACATTTGTTTGGCCTGAGTGAAAAGTAACATTTGTTTGGGCTGAAAAGACTCATTTCTTTTCTCAAGGAGCCAAAGGGCCCTCAGTTTGCCTGTCCCAACCGGAAACTAACAAGTGTGGCCGGTTACAATTCCCGAGAAGCAAAGGCTTCCTCATAATGGCCAGGCATCAATCAGTGTGCTCCTCTGGGCTGGGGACTGGGCTGCTAAGCAGGCCTTGAGAACTCGGAAGCAAAAAACAGTCTTACTTTTGTGGTGAAGCTCTGATGAACACTGTCTGCGGGGCAGTTGTTCTGCTGAGATGTTGCGCTTTATGGGAAGACGGCCCCAAAGGCCCTGCTTTTAAAATGCTTTCCGTTGAAAAGGCGTGTGACGTATTCTGTCATTGCTGATGGGACAGTGCTCATGACTGGTGAACTTGAGCTCATCTGTATGCGGCTTCTCCTTGAAACCAGGCATCCTAACTGGCCACCATCACTAGCTCCAGGCAGCTGTGTCTAGCCTATTCCAAGGATGGCCAGGATAGGTGAATGTGAACTAGGTATGTTAACGGAGCTCTTCTCTAGCTTCTGGTGACTCAGATTCGGTCACACACACACAACTAATTTTCCAAAGTTGTTCTCTAATTCACTGAAGACAGTTTTCTTCCTGTGAAGTCAGAATGTGTTTGCTCGAACCCCTTGCTAATGTTTGAATCATGATGCTCTTCATTTTAAAACCTTTTTCTCTTCACAGACAAGTTGTACAATTCTGTTTATCTCACCGTTAATAGTGAGGGAAGTATTCTCTCTTGTGCAAAGAAGACAAGCTCGTACACTGAGTGAATGATGGGTGCCCCTGAGAGAGAACGGACTCATGAGGGCCTGTGGGTCCCAGTTCAGGTGTGTGGAGTTGTCAAGGTGCCGGTGGAAGCTCAGCTTGTCAGGCGTCACGCAACACTGCCAACCGCCCCAGACATTGTCGAGTAAGGGCCGGATTATTTTTGTACACTACAGCATTTATTGGTGATTTTTTTTTTTTTTTAGTTATATCGGTGAATGTACTGAAAGGAGAAGGAGCTGCCAACATTCCTGTTGGGCTTGTCGGTTTATCCCATTAACCTGCCGTGTTGTTTGGTCCTGGACCCTTGTTATTTACTCTTAATTCAGAGCTAAGGGAACAGGAGGCAGAGATGGGCAAGTCTGTATTGACGAGAAGACTGCTGTGTGGCCCTCTGAAAGCAAGATGCAGAGAGTGGATCACCATGAAGGCGTCAGAGCAGAACTCAGGCCGGACGAAGCTCCGGCCCCGCCTTGGACAGAGCGATGATTGCCTGTGTTTGTGGCCTCTGGAAGTCCTCGTCCTCTCCAGAATGGTTGTCAGCTTTTTCTCCGACTTCACTCACGTCCGACTGACTCCTAGGAGGAGTCTTCCGTTCATGAACTATAAATTATCTCAGACATTCCAGTGTGGGGCTTTCAACCTCAGACTTAGAGTCTGGGAACGTTAGGGCCCTCCGAGAAGTCATGCTATGTAGCCTTATTCTTGAAAACCTGGGTTCCTGGAGTTACCTCAGAAGACTCGAGTTAGAGACAAGACAATGGCTCTTTGTTGCAAGGTGTGAAGTGTGTGTATTGAATCATGGTAGTCCATTGTTAGGGCCTGAGGCCTGTCCTTTTTAGAAGATGGTAGAGTGTATCTCTTTGAGACTGAATTCTTTTTTTTCTTTTCTCTCTCTCTCTTTTTTTTTTTTTTTTTTTGTTGTTTTTTAAGACGGGGTTTCTCTGTAGCTTTTGGAGCCTGTCCTGGAGCTAGCTCTTGTAGACCAGGCTGGCCTCGAACTCAGAGATCTGCCTGCCTCTGCCTCCCGAGTGCTGGGATTAAAGGTGTGCGCCACCGCCGCCTGGTGAGACTGAATTCTATATGAGAATCAATACTTTAAGGTCATCCTGTACATACATTTTAAATTATGTTGCAGACTAGGAGGAAAATGTGCAATTTTGAGGGACACCTAATTCACATTGGGTTAGGGACTGTTCTTCCACCTCTTGTTTTATGTTCCAAATATGTGTCGACGAACTTGTTATTTAATCTGCAGACTTCTGGTCACGTTACTGTTGAGTCACTGACGTAAAGGGAAAACACAAAGTATAGGAAGGGAGGGGAACGGAACAACTTTTGTAATAAACGCCCAGCCGTTTGGTTATTTGATCTCTGCTCAAGCTCTGTGCTCCCTCTCGTTTTTCTTTGCCTGGCCCTGGGATGGAGCGTGCCTCGCACATGCCCAGTGTGCATCTCTTTGCTGCACTGCTCTTCCAACCCAACTCTACATTTAAGTACAACGGATGCCCAGCACTGCTTGTCGCTGGCCAGCAGACTCTTAGCCCACAGCCTTGGGAGTCAAGCTGCGGCCCCGCCTTAGGTACTGGGAGACAGCAATGCTGGAGGTGCTGGGAAAACCTTCCCCCCCCTCCCCGGCCCCCCCAGCAGATTGCTCCTGGGTGAGCTCTCTTGTTATCACTGACCTCTTGTTGACCTGTAGCTCAGAGCTCCGTCCTCTTCAGCTGGACCTTCGTGCTGCATCCTCAGGTACAGATAGCAGCCAGTGCTTTCTTTTCCAGTTGAGCTTCCTATACACGAGCACCCCCTTGACTTCTCCGTGGTTCTCCAAGCTCTACCTGAAATGGAGTCATAAAGACTCGGAACTGGGTGAAATGACAGCCTTGCTCTCTCGATCTACTTCTGCCTACCTGCGAAGGAAGTAACTTTAACAAATGCTTACGAGTCACCTTACTTTCTTATTAAATGTTTCCCTGGAAGAAAAGTCAGGGGCTGGGGAACAGCCTGAGTGAAGTGCTCACCGTGAAAGCATGGGTACCTGAGCTTGGGTCCCCAGCACCCACTTGACGAGCTGGGTGCACCAACTTCGGCCTGTAAGGAATCCCAGCGCTCAGTAGGTAGACGTGGACCTAGCTGAATTAGTGAGCCCGGGTTCAGGGAGAGACCCCTTCTCAGCAAGAGTGAAGGCTGGAGAGATAGCTCAGCAGTTTAGAGGATGCTGACTTCTCTTCCAGGGGTCCAGGTTCGGTTCCCAGGACCACATGACAGCTCATGATCACCTGTAACTCCAGTCTCCAGGGCTGTGTCCTCTCTTCCAGGGGTCCAGGTTCAGTTCCCAGGACCACATGACAGCTCATGATCACCTGTAACTCCAGTCTCCAGGGCTGTGTCCTCTCACACGGCCTGCGCACACTGCGCTTACACACATGCAGCTGGAACAAGGCTAGGGTTAGGGTACACATAAATAACACATCTTAGAAAAGTGGGGGGGGTGGTAGAAGACCTCCGCGTGCAAGCGTACCCACACACCATGCACACATAGTAACATATATCAAGCATGGGAGAAAAGGCCATAATAAAAGTAGGTTTGAAAGAAAAAGAATCTTCTGTCAGTTAAAAAATAATTTGGAAAAAAAAATATTAGTATGAGGTTCTTACCCAGTAAGATAAAGAATTTTTGGTTGGGAAACATTTTGTCCTTCAAATATGTCACATTCTAGAATTTAAAAATAGTAGTTATATATTCCTTAAGTAAGAGCTTAGGAAAAGAAAGAAAATCCCTTCTTGACAGCTCGGTGGAAGGACTAGAGCATGGCGATCTGTTTCCACGGTACTGTGGCTAGTACGCAGGGCCTCTGTGCCGGCTGTGCAGGTGCTCGTCCACTGGATGGCTGCCTCTCCAGCCCAGGGTGCCTCCTGGTTACCCCTGGTGCTCTGAAGCTCACTGTGATCCTCCGCCTCTGCCCCCGGGATGACACTCGAGCACCACGCCCGCTACAAGGGATCCCACTTGTTCCGAATAGTTTTTCTGACTAAACTCCTGTTTTTCTGTCCTGTTGCCCTCCTGGCTCTGCTGCCAACTTCCTCTTCAATGACCGAGCAGAGTAACTAGCGGGGAAGCTTGCCAGCACTGCCAGAACTGCCTGTCATTCAGCTGTAGTCATCGGTGACGTCACCAGCGGCACTGCCTTTACCAAAGAGGACGCCGGATCCTCTTCCCACCCACATGGCAGCTTGTGGAGCTCATTGCATTTGGGAGCTCTCCCGCCTCAGTCCTTCTGTTTCCAAAACCTTTCCCTTGTGTTTGATACTGGTAATAGCTTTATCTTTTCCCAGGACTTCTTTTTAACTCCTTCCTTTGACTTCTAGAGCATTTTAATTTTTGGGTTTATTAGGATCACGTGTGTATATGCATGTGTGTGCGTGTGTGTTTATTGTGTATAGGTGTGTGGAGGTGACATTGCTTTCCTCGATCACACTCCATCTTAAATTTATTTTATTTTATGTCTATGGATGTTTGCCTGCATGTGTGTGCATCATCTCTGTGTAGTGCCCTCGGAAGCCAGCTGAGCCCAGAAGTCGAACTGGCATTACAGACAGTGGTGAGTTGCCTTGTGGGTGTTAGGAATCAAACCCCGAGCAGCCAGTGTGTTTAACTGCTGAGCCCCACCCCCTCCAGCCCCACCTATCTTACACCTGTCTCCACGTAGGCCAATCTGGCAGCCGCTTGCATTGATTGGTTTGTTTGTTTGATTTTGGTTTTTCAAGGCAGGATCTCTGTGTGTGGTGGCGTATGCCTCTAATCCCAGCGCGTGGAAGGCAGAGGCAGGTAGATCTCTGTGAGTTCGAGGGCAACCTGGTCTACAAGAGTTAGTTCCAGGACAGGCTCCAAAGCTACAGAGAAACCCTGTCTCAGGAAAATAAAGCAGTAAAAAACCCCAGACGGTTTTGTCGCAGGGCCGTCTTACAGGCTCATCCTTTGAACCTTGCCAACTTTAAAACCTCGGTAAAGGCTGAGCCTGTTGTAGAGGTCTCTAGTTTACTGGCTCTGCTCTCTGAGAGCCTCCTGTAGAATTGATCTGGTTAGTTTACAGCTCGCTAGGGTGGCCATGCGCACTTGCTCCTGCTTGTCCTAATTTGTTCCCCATCTCCACTCTCTCAGTCTTCATTTGCCTTCAAGCTCCCCCAGCACCATTTAGTCTAAGAGCCTCATGTGAGCCTCCCAAGGCCTCTGCTGCTTCCTCAGTCAAATCCATCTTACTCAGCTACTTGGTGTCTGAGGCCCGTAGGCTGTTGTGGCCCTTTTCTTCTAGGTGAGACTCTGGTGTGGTTGGTGCTGGATAATGTTGCTCTGGTTGGAAAAGTTGGAAGGAAAATAAGAATGGAGGGTGGGCAGAACAGGCAGACAGGCCCTGCGTTGCTCACGATAGCTCCCCTGCAGTAGCCGCTGATGCCATCAGGCTGTCTGGCCTTATACAGGTGCCATCCCCAGCTCTCAGGTTACTCAGCAGCGGGGAGATGGTTTGGGCTGCAGTGGGGCTCAGGCAGCCGCGTTGGTGCCTGACTCGGCAGCGGGGAGACGGTTTTGGCTGCAGTGGGGCTCAAACAGCCGCTTTGCTGCCTGTTATTTTCTAGGTTGCTGCTTTTCTCCAGCCTTTCAGGCTTCCTCTGCCTCCTGGTCACCCTGTGATGATGAGTCTTCCCTGCTGGAGCCTTCCAGGCCCTTATCTTGGGCACCAACAGCCAGGCCTGCTGGCTTTACTGCCTGATTGTATCTTCTGGTTGTTTCTTGTCATTTCCTCAATTAAACCGTGAGTGTGGGCAACATGTCCAAGGATAAGCATTCCTAACTTCCTGATTCACCTTTCCACACAGCTTCTTTTGAACTTTTAGATACTATCTTAGTTACTACCCTCCCCCTGGCCCTTCCTTATTGCCTGGAGCATTTCTGGTGAATTGCTTGTTTCCACACACATTTTAGATCAGATTAGATGTGAAATACTAGTGTTGGTGTAGACATAGGTGGTGCAAAGCCTTAGCTGGGAATGTATGTACTAATAAAGCCTTAGCTGGGAATATATGTACTAATAAAGCCTGGCATTTATCTTTAGTTACTTGTTACTAATGGCATTTTAGAAGCAAGAACCTACACAGAAGTAGTTCCAGGGAATCCAGCATTCTCTTCTGGCCTCCATGGACACCAGGCACACACGTGGTACACATTCATGTGAATTGTGTTGATTGGTTTTTGTCAACTTTGCACAAACCTAGACATTTGGGAAGATGGAATCATAATTGAGAAAATGCCTCTGTCAGATTTCCCGTCTATATACTATTTCTATCTATTTATCTATCTATTGCCCATATCATATATACAGACAATATGATGGCGGCGCATATCCATGGGCAGGTGGTACTAGATTATATAAGAAAGTAGGCTGAGCAAGCCAGGAGGTTGCTCTCCTCCATGGTCTCTGCTTCAGTTCCTGCCCTGACTTCCCTTTATGATAAACATGGGACATGTAAGCTAAATAAACTTAGTCATGGTGTTTTATCATAGCAGTAGAAACACTCAGACACGTGAAGTTTTTTAAAACTTGCTGTCAGCCGGGCGATGGTGGCGCACGCCTTTAATCCCAGCACTCGGGAGGCAGAGGCAGGCGGATCTCTGTGAGTTCAAGACCAGCCTGGTCTACAGAGCTAGTTCCAGGACAGGCTCCAAAGCCACAGAGAAACCCTGTCTCGAAAAACCAAAATAAAACAACAACAACAAAAAAAACTTGCTGTTCTCTTGACTGAGGTTACCCCTTCGTTCCCAACCATCCAGACTTGAAATGACCACACAGAAACTGTACTAATTAAATCACTGATTGGCCTATTAGCTCTAGCTTCTTATTGGCTAGCTCTTACATCTTAAATTAACTCATTTCTATTAACCTGTGTATCGCCACATGGCTGTGGTTCACTGGTAAATTTCCTTTTGTTGTCTGTCTCCTGCAGGCTTCTCCCTGGCTTCTCTCTGACTCTGCCTTCTTTATTCCAGCATTCAGTTTAGTTTTTCCACCTAGCTCTGTTCTGCCCTGTCATAGACCCAAGCAGCTTCTTTATTCATTAACCCATAAAAGCAGCACATATACAGAAGGACCCATCACTGTCCCGTTTACTGTTGAAAGTGTACCACAGGCTTTGGTTCAGAGACCTGCAGTTGATAACCCAGCGAAGATGACTGTTGTCTAGGGTTACAAATTGATAGGAGAGAGCCCAACACCCAGTGTTTTCCATCTTGCCACATGGCCTGGCCTTCCCTCCAGCTGACTCTTGTCCTAGGCTCCCTTCTAAGGTATGGTTGTACAGTGCACCCATCTTTCTCCAGGCCAGGGTCTCAAGTGGAACTGGCAATTGGGAGGCTTT